CATGCATCTCTTCCACCCTCTAGTGGTAACTTGCTATAGATGCAGCAGTACACATGATGACAGACTCATCAAATGTGCTCTGGATGGTTCTGCAGACAGGTGATGAACTCTTTCACCTCTTTGCCCTCAAAGCAGATCTGGTAGACTGCAGAAAACAATGGAAACCTGTGAGAGAAAGTTCAACGTTATATGATGTTTGATGGAGGACACCGTCAGTGAGCTGGTCACAGAAAGATTTTCACACGTCAGCATGTCAAATGAACTAATCAGTGGGTCATGACGAAATCAGCTCTGCACACCCATGCAGGTGTGAGAGGACCGTGGCACTGCACAGTGGAACTGTACTTTACCTGTACTTCCCAATCATTGCATTAGAGCTGTGGTTAAATTGGTCCGGTTTTATTCATGTGGTTTTGATAACACAATGGGACTTTATATCACAACATTTAATAGCCAAAAGACGAGGTAACAGTGTTAAACAGTATTTTATAGAGGTAAATGGACTCACTTGTTGATCATGTCCTTCTTTTGTAGGAGCTTGTAGACCTCAGCGGAGGTCTGTGGGCCCTGCAGCTTCTGCCCGTTGAGCATCTCTGCCTCCAGCTCAACAATAGACTGGAGACAGAAACAGTTTTGATGTTGTTTTCTTGATATATTCTGTTCATAAATGTAATATAAAAGTAGACAAGGGTAGAGTTTATGCCTCTGGAGGTCATGATGAAATGGGACTCACCTTGGACGTTTTGACAAAGGCCTCTGCCACTTTGCGGTTTCGTCCCCCATAGCAGGTGGTGATGAGGTCGGCCACGCCGCAGCTTTCCAGGAAAGTGGAGGAGCTCACTTGGCCTTTGCAGAACATCTTGGCGAAGGCGACCATTTCCATCAGACCCAGCCTGATCACCGCCGCCTTGGTGTTGTCGCCAAAACCCAGGCCGTCGCAGAATCCAGCACCTACTGCCACAATATTCTGCCATGCAACATTTGGCTTTTGACTAACACATTGAGGCAAGATTTGAAATATGGAACCTCTCTGAGGTATGAGGAATAGCCACTTAATATTCACAATATGTGGCTGTCTTTACCTTTAGAGCTCCACACAGCTCCACTGTGTCACTCTCTTCTACGACAGTGATGCGAAAGTTGGGAGTCTGAAGCAGCTCTTTGAAAATGAGGCCGTTCGCCTCATTTTTTGCCCCTGTATTAAAAGCAGTTTGTCAAGAAGAAAAAGAAACACAATGTCACTCAGTATTTGTAAAACAGGGAAGTAACGCTGTGTTTTAGTCTTTGTCTGACCACCACACAGCATCCTCTTCTCTAAATTCCACCCTCTGCATGCAAGCAATGTCAGGAAAATGTTGTGAATGCTGAATTAAAAACAGAGTCTAACCGACTGTGGTTTCACAGAACTTCTCATCTGCCACCTCGCTGGCGATGTTGGCCCCCATAAGGACGCTGACCTCGATCTCTAGTTTCTCTCGGATGATGTCTGAGATTAGCTTCAGGCCATCTGGTCCCTCGTCGATACCCTGGATGACAATAACCAATGAGAGACACACGTAGTGCTTGGAGAGTGTGATGGCCTCGAGGTAACGGATGTTTTAAGTGTCACTGCTGTGATAGTCTGTGTGTTGCTCAACTACAAAGTCAGGTGACAATATTTCCCTGTTTCCCCTTTTTTTGCTGTGAGGAAAGCTGACACGAAGAACAATAACAGGATCTTACTTTGATGAGCGATATCCCAATGGTTCCCTCCGTGATGTGAGGTTTCATCTGATTACACAGTTTGCCGATGAACTGGTGTGGGATTACAAAGACGAGGATCGTTGCTCCTTTGACAGCTTCTGTGATGTCTGGAATAGCAACCTAGAGAGGCACAGTCAGTCTTTAAATAGTGGCAGAGTATTACCAACGTGTGGAACAAACAGCTTGTGGCTCTGCTACTTAAATATATGAAATATGTTTTGTCTGACCCGCGGCCCTTTGCTACACGTCTATCCTATCCATCTAATGAAAAGGCCAAAATAATCATCTTGAAAATATATATATATATATATTATGTACCAGGATAAACCCCTTGAGATGTACCATCTTATGTTTTTTCTTTAAAATAATTATTAAAAATAGATTAAACATATATATGTTAATAAACATCCATAACAATAACAAAAAAAGTAAAAGCACAAAAACATATTACAATATCTGAGTCACTTGTTAAAAATGGTTATAATTATACACAAAACTAGTAATTATTAAGTAATAAGCCTTACTGTTTCTTAATGGAAAGTCTTAATGGAGATATAACATCAATGTAACAGGAAAAAAACTTTACAAAACAAACTAAACCCCAATTATAGCTCCTTGGGAAATATCTCAATGTGATATTTTTCATCATAAACAAATCAATAATTATCATGAAACACTATTTCTCTTCCTAGACAATGTGCCTGCTCACACACTTTGTATTTCTTGCCATGTAATGCTTCTTTGCTTTTGCTCTTGATAGATATGTCGTTGAGGTGAGCAGACTCTTGCAGTTATTCATGAGCAGAAACATATGGGTCAAAGATGTGTTATCATGGTTTGAGATTGCAGTGAATCGCATCACCTGCTGTCACACAAGATGTATGAAAACTTAATCTTACCACATTTCTGGGCAGTTTGTGACCTGGCAGGTATTTGACATTTTGGTGCTCTGTATTAATGATCTCTGTGAGCTTCTTCCCATCAATCATTTCTTCATAAACCCACATGTTTACCATTGGGTTGAACCGGTTGGATGCTTTGACATTGTGCCCGATTATTTTGGCAATCGAAGAGCCCCTTGAGGAAGTAAAGAATATGAGCAGACAATCACTGTGAGCAACATTCATCAGAGAAGAAGAAAAGCCTCATGATCCTATCCAAACACTGCAGAACCAGACAAGACTTTGGGAAAGTAAAACAGGTCAGAACAGGCTGAAAAGAAAGCATTGTTCAGGTGAAAATGGAACAAATCCAACCATCAAATAACCATATTTATCTTTAGTAAAGGTCATTAGGTACCCTTTAAGAGTATTGAGACCCTAAACCAAGGTGATGGCTTGATCCTCATCCGTAAATAGTTGAGTCTCAAGGTTTGTTAGATGTGTTAATGCAGAACGTGAGACTGGACGGTAAATTAGTAGGAAAATATGTGTTGGTGTTGGCTTTGATGGTGTTGCCATTCTCTCCCTAGGCTGGTCTTAATTCGTTGACTGAGGAGGCACTAACTGTTACTTTACTCAGGCTGTTCCATACTGGTGTTGTTCTACTTGAGAAAAAAGGTTTCGGTGGACCAGGCTGGTGTTGTACCTGTAGTTTCAGATCGTGACCTCTCGTATTGGTGCTGAGGGATTTTTTGAACATACTATTGCCACATATACTACTTCACAACTTCTGTCAGACTGTACGCCGTCGATTCCTGTCAGTATTTTAAAAGTTTGGACCATGTCGGCTCGTTTGCATCGAAATTCCAGAGTTTGCAAGTTGAGACTGGCAAGTCTTTCTGGGTATGAGAATTTTGAGAGGCCGTGCACTAGTCTCGTTGCGCGTCTCTTAACTTGTTCCAGGGAATCTTTGTCCCGCTTGAGTTTGGGCGACCAGACGACTGAGGCCTACTCGAGGTGAGGACGTACAAAGGATTTGTACAGGTTGAGAAATGATGTTTGATCCAAGGACTTGAACGTGTGTTTGATTGCTCCTAACACTCGGTTGGCCTTGGATACCTGGGTTTGAATGTGCCTGGAGAATGAGAGGTCGATAATTACACCCAAGTCTTTCTCTTCTTGTGTGATTTGAAGCTGATGGGTTGTGCCATCATTGTTCCTCATTGTGTATATGATGACACAATGCTGCTACACTGGCGGGTTAAACTCCCATAAAGTGTCCAAAGGTCATTATTAGGCATCAAAATAATAGACCTTTTTATTATCTGAAGTATAAAAGCATGATCATGATTCCTCAGATTGGTGTAAGATATGGGCTGCGGTCAAAGCGGAAGCGCAATAGATCCACAGCAGTTGGACGCTTTTTAATGGTATAAATAATAGCGTATAGACATTAGACTTACATATTGGTGGTATGGGTCTTAATCTGCTAAATTACAAATCCCCGTTCAGTTAAGCATTGAGTGCATGACATAATAGTTTACACCACTATAAATGTAAATAGTGCTATTGTTTCTGAAATATGCATTTATAAGAGAGCTGTAAAGTTACCAGTTTCCAGATCCGACGATGCAGACTTTATTTGCAGGCATTTTGAACGTGGCAATTGTCCTTCTGTACGGCTGAACTATTGTTCTCTTTATTCACCGTCTCTTACAACTTCCTCATACGCCCTATGATTTCTACAATATCACCCCTCCCCTCTCTCGCCACGGATACACCTCTTTCCTTTTCAGCAGTGGGAATAACATAATAACACAGTGCAACAAGTATCACAGCCATTTTAACACTTTTTGGGGGATCGTTTTCACACATATTATACAATAAACAACTGGTTTTACATTATTAAGATGAATGGATGCATTGAGAGTACAAAGAAGAAAGTCAAACCGGTCATTTATTATTAAGTATTGATTTAGCCAACCGACATCAAGCCAGACAACATATTCAATGAGACTTCCGGTTAAGGTGTTTTTCAAAACAAAGCAATGATATCCGCTCCTGTTTACTACTCACAGTTTAAACAAACAAACAAATGCATTCACGAATGCATACATAATCAGACAACGTACTATATGTCAAAATATGTCAACATGTATGTGCAAAGCATCTATTTTAAATATGCAATTGTTAATCTGCTTTTTTATTTATTTATTCATTTTATACAGTTTAATGTTAACATATTGGGGGGGGTTGGGGGAATACGATATGGTGTATTTATATGGATATTGTTAATCTTTTTTTTCTATTTTAATGTTATTGTGAATCGATACACGGAAGCTTGCGCTCGTGAGCTAGTCACATGACTGGTTTCCTGCCAAAGCAGTAAATACTAGGCGAGCTAGCAGGCACTGCAGGTTATGTGGCTACTCCCTGTATTAGCAGTATTTACAATGTTTTATCAAACGTTATTTAACTTATCTGGCTAACAGTTCAGCGTCTGTTGGGTGTGTTTCGATAAGGGATGAACCGTCAGCTTCAATTTGTGTCATAAGGAAGGCTCGTCCACTTGATCAAATTTGTGGTGACTTAGCTTAGCTAGCTAGCTAGCTTCACAGGTTAGCTTAACGCTAGCAAGCTGAGTTGGCGTCTAACGGAGGCTCTGTTGCTAGTGACTATGCAAGGGGAAGCCACGGCTGTACGAATCCCGGAAAACGAAGGCAAGCTGGATGTATTGCCCCAGACCAGGACCCCAAGCTCGGGGCGAGCAAGTGCCAAAAGCTGGCAGTACAGGTGTGTGGCTGTTACCTGCTAACGCTCATAATTAACGTTACATTTAAGCGACTTTACTGATTTAAGGTACTTTGTTTACCTGTCCGGTTGTGACATACAACGTTAGATATAGATTTTTAACTATGTGTTTTGACCGTCCATTAATTGACCGATTTGCTCTTAAGTTTATGATCAACTTGCTTTCTAACCAGACAGGTAATAGTGAGTTAATTCTGCCCTTTGAGCAAATCTGTGACAAGGCAATGCTCCATGATTAATTAGTGCATACACCTGTGTGTGTTCATTGGCGTGTACTCAGTCAAAGCATTTTAACAAGTGTTCTTTGTCTCCTTGATGACCTCTCATGCCAGTGACCACATGGAGAATATCGATGGCTACTTGATGAAATACACCAACCTTGTAACAGGGTGGCAATACAGGTGAGTTTCATACCGTTTCAATGTAAAATGTTTAGCGTCCCAATCAAGAAACTCTTATCAGTATTCACCAGCCACTGTCAGCCAAATTCCTCATTGTAATCCAGTCTAATCCAATCCAAGTAATGCCGTGGTGGTTTGTACGGCAGACTGTCATAGTCACTTGTTTGTTTTCAGGTTCTTTGTCTTAAACAATGAGGCTGGCTTGCTGGAGTACTTTGTCAACGAGCAGTCGAGGCCCCAGAAGCCCCGTGGCATGCTCCCCCTGGCAGGGGCCGTCATCTCCCCCAGCGACGAGGACTCCCACACCTTCACTGTCAACGCCATCAGCGGGGAGCAGTACAAGCTCAGGGGTGGGTACCTAGATACACACACTGACGTCTTGACATGCATGTTTAACAGTCGTATGTCAGATCACAGTACATCATCTTAGCTTGTTGTTTCAGCCTTTTACTGTTCGCTTGTGTTCGCCTCTGAGTTCCCACGAACTGAGCTGTTCCTTAATATTGATTGTCAGCTTCTTTTTTTCCTCCCGGCCTACTGTCCTCACCATCCATCAAGTTCATACGATATTGATCTGGATGTTTTTCCATTATCCGCTGCTGGTGATGCAGAAGCACACGGGAATCGATCATCGTATTAGAGTGACCATAAGATGGTTTCTTGCTTTTCTTTCGTGTGTTTCTCTCAGCCACCGATGCCAAAGAGAGACAGCACTGGGTGAGTCGACTGCAGATCTGCACACAGCACCACACGGAGGCCATGGGCAAGGTAAGATGTTCTTGGTATTAGACATATGATAGAGCCTGCACGCAGATATACAGAGATATTATGTACTGTGTTGAGACTAAATCTTAGTCAATGCAAACATGTTGTTGATCAGTGTATAATATCCCTTTATTGCTTGCTGCTGTTTAAATCAAACATAAGAAAGTGACTCTGCCGCAGAGCGGATGTAAGCTGGACAGACTTCAGTTTCCTGTTTTCCTTCCTCATGTGCCAAAGAAGCAATCGAGCAAAGCCAGCGGCAGAGCAAAAATCTGGAGCGGTGTGAAATATTAATGTTCATCTCAAAATGCATCTGGTTTTGCCTTGTTCGTAAGCACAGTAATCACTCGTATTGATCTACAGACGACTATGCAGCCCATATTCTATTGTAATGCTCTTGAGATGCACAACAACAAAAAAACACAGAACTCCTCAAAGCTCATTCTTTTCTCTCAGAATCTATCTGTAAAAGTTGTACATTTCTATTTGAACATGACGAGATGAACATTCTGCACTTCACAGAGTAATCCTCCACCCAAGTCCCGGAGCTACTCTATGGCGTCTCAAGGCAGCGGCAGCTCTCCCATGTCGTTACGCCGGCCCAGCCAAAACCCCGCCTCCTTATTCGGCTGGTCGCAGCTCAACAAGGGCTCGTCACTCTACGGCAGCAAGAGGTCCCTGCTGCCAGACCACCTGATGGATGCTAGAGAGGTACAGCCAGCCAGAGACTAAGTGTTGTTGATCGGAACAGCTCAGAATCTAATCCTGCACGCTTGTTAACATATCATTGACATCTCAGGACCAGCAATTAACTAGGGTGCTATGGGCTGCTGCACTTAAACGGCTAAGAATATTTCAAATGAATTGCTTTGAAGATAATAGTGAAAAATGTCTCAATGGTCTTTATGTTGGAGATTAAGAAAAGAATGAATTTAAAAGCTATAGCTTGCGTCATCACACTTCCTGCAACAGACGCAAGCAAAAATTACGTTTCTGCTGCTCGGCAGAAATCTGGGTTACAAGTGAAATCAAGAACATCTGATCCAATCAAAATGCTGTTAGGTCTGTGTGATGCTCTGTTATGTAATCAAGCTGCAGCCAGAAACATCTTTAAAATCCCGCCATGGTGGATGGCTAAAGATCCTACCACACACAAACATACAGAGGGAACTTTATTATAATTATATGCTTGATGTTCCTGCAAGACATCCAGTGTTCAGTGTAAAATACTTAAGACTGAGTTTTAAAGTAGGGCTTTTGTTGATTTAGATTTGTCTTCACTTTGACCGATTGGTGTGACGCAAATTGTCCACAAGGGGGCGCTGATGTCTCTCCCTGAACATCAGTGTACTCCAGATCAATCATGCATTTTTTGATTTATGGATTGTTCTTCTCAGCTCCCTTCAAACAATAGTTGTCCTGTTTACTAACCACCACATGGCAGTACTTTAAACGGTTGAGCTGAACTACCTTAGCTGACAATTTCAGAAGTGCTGATTCAAAACAAAAATATCCATTTAGTTTCTTAATTTTTGAGCATACAGTAAGGGAGAAAGCTAAGGGGTATTGGCAACTTTGATTTTTATATGTTATTGTCTCAAAGCATGGATGTTGTGCATAGATAAAAAAGAAAGCCATGTTAAGAGATTTCAATTAATTTAAACACATTTAACAACAGTACCTGCACAGGTAAACGTCATTACTCATCTTTTTTGCCTTCTATAACGGAACGCTCCTTGATCCCCTTCCAGATGATGACCCAGGCCCAGGGCCAACACAGAGACCTAATCCAGAGCATCGAGGGTCTGCCTCCAGCCCCCGGCTTCTCCCCTCTAGACCAGGATCTGCTGATGCTCAAGGCCACTTCCATGGCCACCATGAACTGCCTCAACGAGTGCCTGCACATCCTGCACCTGCAGCAGATGGCCAGGCAGAGAGGCTCCCTGGGAGGTCAGTGGAGGAGGGGGGGTTGTTGTGCATATTGTGAATCTGAATATGGTGTCTTCTCAAGGTCTGTTTGTATGCTTGGAGAGTATTCTGACAGTGCAGTCAAGGAAAAAAAGTGAATGCATGCTAAGCGACCTTTTTTTTTTTTTTTTTTTGTTTTTTTTTGTTAAGAAGTGAGCATTTCTGCCTCACTGCAGATGAAGTGTTTTTGTCTGCTGAATAAGCCGCCCCTGTCCTCTACGTTTTCTGTTAACTGAGGCCACATGCGGTCCACAACAAATCATAGCCTTGTATATGCAAGCCTGCACCCAATCTAACAGTTAGCGTTGGCCGGACAGTGGAATTATTTTGCATTATTGATGAGGAACCGTGCCTATTCTTACCACCTGTCTCCAAGATAATGAGATCTCGGATGGTTAAAATGTCCATCGGCAACGCTTTGAGGACAGAATTCAGTTCTAAATCAGCTTCATGTTAAAAAAAAAAACATTCCCGTTTTAGAGAGAACCCAATGTGAAGTGTCCAAGTCGCTGATATCTCAACACTTTCTATTCAGGACAATTTGAAATGGGGAAACGACCAGCTAATGCCCCACTTCTTCAAAGCAGATCTCATTACTCGATGTATATTTCATTAGGCCAGAGTCGTCGCAGCAGCCAATCAGATAAAACTGTCCAACGACGCACAAGGTGTATTTGAATGAGATCTGCCCACCTTTTAAACATGCATAAAAAAATGCCATCGTCATACGTGGAGGGTTTATCCAATCAGAGAACGGGGACGTTTCCTGCTGGCGGGGCCAAAGTATCCTGATACCTGGTTTGTCAGAGGGGTTGGGTTACACTCTCTTGGTCTAGGACAGCGTCTGAGGAGTAGCCATCTGTCCAGTCAGCAGCCAGGGGGTTGTTTAGAGCTACGCCTGCGTGTGTGCGCAGCTGTGAGTGTCAGGGGGACTTGGGAGGGAGGGGGGGACAGTACCATGAGTACCTCTGAACTTGCCGCCTTGCACTCCCCGTCCCCGGCAGGACCCACCATCGAGTGGTTGGAGCCCAAGCTGCCCGACATCCTGAAGAACGGCAGCAGCTCCCTGGGAAGCTTCGCGACAGGGGAGGGCCTGCTGGAGGGGAGCGGTCTGGAGCTCGGCAGCCCCGACTCTTGCAGCTTCTCTGGGGTAAGAACAAGCGAATGACGCCCCCTCTCAAAGGAAACAGATCTGGGAAAAGTTGTACCAACCTGTTGGTCATCAGGAAGTTGACTTGACATAGTTTATTTGCCTTTCTAAATCAGCTATAAACTATACAGTTAGTTTTTCTTTTTTAAATGGTCGAGCAGTTTTGCAGTCTCCCACAACATAAACAACCATTGTCTTTCGACCTTTGCTGTCAATCAAGCAGGTTGTTGAATTGATCACATCCCTCTCTCAGGAACAGGAAGACATCGATGCGGAGGATGAGGCCGAGGACTCGTTCACCGATAAGGAAGAGGACCTGGGTGCTGTGGAGGAGGAACGCAGCGTCATCTTGCACCTGCTGTCCCAGCTGAAGCTGGGTATGGACCTCACGCGGGTAGGTCGAGTTCCACGTAAAGCCAATCGCCCCCCCTCCACCACAAACTCCTCCCACACTTTGTTTTGTGTTTGAGCAGGTTTTCTGTGTCATTACGAGAGGAAGATTATGAGTTTATGGATTATGTTGGTAATTCCAGACCGATAGTCCCACAGAGAGGGGTATGAGAGGTGTTGGTGCTTAGATTAGCTGTTTGTACATAATGTAGTATAGTGGGCTGTGATCTATAACCCTGACGCATAAAATTGTTTATTCACCTCTCATAGGATTTAAAACGGTTTGTAACACATCGTGTAGTCTATAAAACAATAAGGGCTCAAACAATTGTTTGTTTTGTTTTATTTCTTAATTTGGGACTTAATTTTCTTGATTACATTTTTTTAAACAACTAAATGTTAAAGTTCATGTTTTGTAGATGAAACATTTTCTTTGAGTTTTCTTCATTTTCTATTCATTAAAACCACTTTTAATTCGTTTTTACAATCAATATAAATGAATTATAACGTATATGACAGCTTCCTGAGATATCCCATGGAGGTGAAAACATATCGGTTGAATATTAATATTGGGATAAATTATGATAATAAAGACGTCCTTCAACTAAACACCAAAATACAGACGTAGAACAAGTTGAAAGACGGTAAGTTGCGAGTAGTATTACTTTGAGTGAAGTGGAATGAGCAGCTCTGTCTCACATGTGAAGATGATCTTTAACTGTACAGTGGTATGGTGTAGACGGCCACTATAAGTCAGTCTTAAGATTAAAGCTTGAAAAAGCGTTGAGTTTGTTTGAATGGAAAAGTGTTCAGTGACTGAATGAATGAGTAAATGTTAGATCAGGTTGTTGGGTCTGTCTTTCAATACTCTCATTTGTAATGACCTTACAGGCTGAAGTAAGCACTTCTTGCTTTCTAATTACTCCTCCTGCACACACTTAAAAACAGTTAAGTCATTCTATCGTCCCGTGTCAGTTTGTTCTAGTATTTGGATAGCCTCCTCTTGGGTTGCTGATTAATCAGTTATCTGGTGGATCTGTTGGCTGACCTCTGATGGAGATCTAGACACTTTGGGCCCAGGGTCATGTCCAGTAAACGTCACATGGTCACTTGATGCATCAAACCGAAAAGAAAAAGGCGATGGAACATGAGCTTTAGTTGGTTGTGACCTGTGTTGTTCCAACTAATAAAGAAATCGTGATTCTCCTTCCAGGTGGTCCTCCCCACCTTCATCCTAGAGAAGCGCTCTCTGCTGGAGATGTACGCTGACTTCATGTCACATCCCGACCTCTTTGTGACCATCACCGACGGCAGCAGCCCGGAGGACCGCATGGTCCGCTTTGTGGAGTACTACCTCACGTCCTTCCACGAGGGACGGAAGGGGGCCATTGCCAAGAAGCCCTACAACCCCATCATCGGCGAGACCTTCCACTGCTCCTGGAAGGTACCCAAGAAACCAGAGGCCTCCAAGGAGCATTCAGAGGATAGCCCCGACCCGGCCGCCCCCCAGGACCCCTACCAAGTGCGCTTTGTGGCGGAGCAAGTGTCCCACCACCCCCCCGTGTCTGGCTTCTACGCTGAATGCCAGGAGAGGCAGATGTGTGTGAACACGCATGTGTGGACCAAGAGCAAGTTCATGGGAATGTCTATCGGTGTGTCCATGATAGGGGAAGGTGAGCCGGCAATGTTTTTGTATTCTATTTGCATTAGTTTCATCAGAAAGTAAGCTGTCTTCCTAAATAGTAGTTACTGTTTCTGTCCTCTGCTCGTCTTTCCAGGTTGTCTTTATTTGCTGGAGCATGAAGAAGAGTACACTTTCACGCTGCCTTGTGCCTATGCACGCTCCATCCTCACCGTTCCCTGGGTGGAGCTGGGCGGCAAAGTCAACATCAGCTGCGCTAAATCTGGCTACTCGGCGGTCATCACTTTCCAGACTAAACCATTCTACGGTGGCAAATTACACAAGTGAGTCCCTCCCGGGTAGCAAGTTGATATCTATGTTGTTGTTGTTTGTTCTGTTCTGCATCCTGCTCCTTTTCAGATGGTTGATATCTCTGAAGTAACGCCTACATCTGAAAAATGTTTTGAATCCACAACACGCATATTTTCATACTTTTCCTTCAAGCAGGCTTTTAAAATATTGTATGAAATGTATTGATTTCATTGCCCTGCCTAAATATAGGGTCACAGGGGAGGTGAAGCACAACACCACCAATGCGGTGGTGTGTCGCGTGCAGGGCGAGTGGAACGGGGTTCTGGAGTTCAGCTACACCAGCGGAGAGACGAGAGTGGTGGACGTCACCAAGCTGCCTGTTACCAAGAAGAGCGTTCGACCGATTGAGAAGCAGGGACCAACTGAATCCAGGTCCGAACACTGCAGGGTTTATTTTGATGCCTTTTTTATTCATATGTTGAAGTCTATCCTAAAAACGTTGCTTATTGGGGAGAGTTTTTGTAATACAAGGTCAAATACAACTCCACATCCTTGTGCTCTCATGGAACAGGAAGCTAATCAGTTGCATGGCTCTATGACGTCTCACTGACTTCACTGCATTTCAGGCGCCTGTGGCAGCATGTCACTGAGGCCTTGCGGCAGAAGAACGTTGAAAAAGCCACGGAGCACAAGAGGATTCTGGAGGAGAGGCAGAGGACGGAGGAGAGGCACCGGGCTGAGACCGAAACCACTTGGAGGACCAGATACTTTGACAGAGAGGTGAGCAAGTTGACGACAATAGAATCACAATGTCGTTGCTCCTTGATGTATTTGACCATCATGAGGGTTTGATGAAACGGCATTCATAGATTTGTATCCGGTCAGGGGACAAGAAGACACTTATGAGCATGCACAGCTTGTGGAAGGTCACCTGTGGCGACTCAAACCCACTCTAAGTCCCCTCCTGCTGGAGTGGTCTCACCTTCCACTAACCTATTAAAAATGTCCCAAGAATCTGGCTCACTTAAAGTTACTACGAGGAACTTTTAACTGGTTATGAAACGGTCTCAATGTGATACTGTTGTCTCTATATGACCGACATAAGTAAAGGAGACTTCGGGTCTGATCTAATTTGTGCCATGATGGCCAAAAACATGCTCAGCGTTCTTCCTGCTGTTTTAAGAATCATTTCCATCCCAAACAAATGATGGCATCGATGACTTTATTGGAGTAAACAATGAGTAGTAATAATATGTTGACACTAGTCTCTTCTTCTCCACCAGGGTGAAGGATGGGTCTATCACAAACCACTTTGGAAAACCTCTGCATCCAAATCCTAGTTTCTTCAGTCTGTCTTTGATGTAGATATTGTAGATTCAGGAGTTTGTGAGAGTGTGTGTGGACACACACATGGTTATGAAATGAGAGCATGACCTGCACTGACGTACAGATGAATGCAGCATGGGGAGGAGGACAGAGACGGCATGACTTAAGGTGTTCTCATGGTTTTCACCAAGCCTCGAAGTACAAGCTGTTGTACTGCTGATCAGTTGTTTTTTATAATCTAATGTCAATGAAAACCTCTTGTTGTACAGGTATAATGGTACTCTATCTACACAGCCTTAAGACAGCCTGATCAACCTGGATATGCTTCTTTTCAAGCTGTGGGATCGCGTGACATTTGACTTCCAACATAAAGAAAACCTAAATATTTGGAATACTGCCTGTTAAATGTAATGCTGTGAAAATGTAGTGATTTGATTTGGTGTGTTGGAATGTATAAGATCTCATCCATGTTTAAGTGACTGTACACTCTGCTTCAAGTCAAAGTGTTTCTCTATAACAAACAGTAAATATTCATGACTAACGAATCAAAGTAAAACAAACATTTTTAGGCACTAGCTTTTTGAGAGTATAACAGTCAAGCTCAGCTGATCTGCTTCATCCGGACTGTAAACTTGTGCTTTCGTCAGATGTGATTGAGGAGAGCTTTGCGAGTAGGTCACGATACCAGAAATTTAGTAAGGACACCGGTGAAATTTCTCGATACTCAATCCGATACCACAGTAAAAAACTAAACGTGCTTCAACGTACTCTTATTTCAGTTTGCACACCGATTTCTTTCCGATAAGTTATTAATCCCTAATGATCCCCCTTAAGTTTCTCGCCAACAACTACATTTTACATTTGAGCGCACCATGATAACGTTATTTACCTTCTCCCAGTACTCATTTTCACCGGATATTGAACACATACTGGAACTCAATGCAACCTCCGTACATTAGCTCCATTAACTAGCGCTCCTCCTGCTGATTTCAACACATTTGTAGCACTATCGGGTAAAGCTTCCATCATCCCTGTGACGACGAGACCCCATTAGTCTGGAGCCCTGATCCCTGGTACCTGTGGTACTCTAGAAAAATGAGTACCGTCCCGTTTTCAGACTTTCAGCATCGACTTGGTGCCAAAGTATCGGTTTTCGTGACATCCCGAAATCTCGTTTCTGTCTCCAAGCCCGAGAGGAAATCACCCCAATGACCTGACCAGGGTCATTGTTTCAGACATTAAAGAACTGCTCACAGGCTGAGGTACTCCCTGTGACGAGTAAACTGATGTGTAAAACTGGTAGAATAACCTGTTCACATTATAATTTGAATATTGATTGGTATCTGGTAGATTGTGTGCCTTTTAGATGTACTCATTGAAATAAAGTCATGCAGTTTATCTCGTGTATTCAATTGTTTGATGCTATATTGACGAAGACGTTGTTGGAATGGGATGCCATCGACTAGCTGACAAATAACTACATTTAAAATAATAATCGCATGCGAATGCATCTACAGACTGCTACCCCCATTATCTCTTCTTTTTACTCCTGTGCTTTTTGCAGTGGATGGAGAAATTCCTACATGCACGACATCTCTTCATCTCACTGAAAGTGTACTACTCCCGTGTCTGCATTACTTAAGTTTATAAATGTCTGGTAAAAGCTTTTAACTAAATTTGCTTGTTTTGTAATGCAAATAAATATTTTCTTTGAATGTGTAATTATCCCCAATCTTTGTGCTTTAATTGCGCTTGTTTTTTAGAGCCACTTTCTGTATAGATGTTAACATTTCTCATTCCATTCATGTTTTAGTTTAATTTGGAAGTAATTTCAGTCTACCTTACTGTGATACATGTGACAAACATTCCTTTGTCTCTCTCCCCCCCCCCCCCCCCCCCCTTCACATTCTCACAGCGTCCCAGTATCAAGTAGGACACGTTCCTCTTCTCTACAGAAAGAGACGCTCCCTCCTCTCTCCACGTCTTGGTGCCTTATGCAAACTCTTTCTGTGAGTCTTCCAACTTTTGTGTGTGTGCTTTTTTAGAGTCAGTGATTCATGTTGGGAGAAGTCAACAGCACTGATTATTCGAGGGTTTGACATTGTCTTGGTATTGGATTCTACTGCTCGTCTTGCTGACCTATGAAATGCACTGACATTGAAGGAAACCTGATGTTGTAGAAAAATGGACATGTGTGGAGAATAATCAAATAAATTGCGTATCGGTTGTATTCTGTGTTGAGTTTTGTTCTCCACCAAGTTAACGCTGTTTTCCTCCTGCTTCCTCTACTCTTTGACATCGGTACAAATATTTCATTAAAGTAAATTGGAAAGGTTGAAACATGAGGCTATCAAACTGCAGTTCTAGTAGAAACATCTTGTTAGAAAAACCCCTCCCTTAGTTCTAATGGCCTAAGGGAGGTACATCGCTCCTTTAGTTCTAATGGCTTAAAGGAGGGAAAACTTCCGGATTTCCCAAAGTAAATGATTACCACCAGTCCGGTTCACCATAAGGATCTCGTCACTCCGTTCCCTTCAGCAAAATCCTGGCCTCTCAATTTACCAAAGGATTCTCGTGTGAGAATCTGGCGTAGGTCTTTGTCAGGAGTCCTGGCGAGAATTGGAGATGTTGAGATCCTGCTCGAAGGACCATTATGTTAGAAAAATTCACTCGAGACTGGTGTAAAAATCATTCATCAATGGACATTTATTCTTTGCAAAGAAGGAGACAGGGTTGGTTCACATACAGAATGTACACCAAGACCGCTCGAAGACCTGTCTCCGAGTCTCTGGTATTTATACTAAGTAAACAACATGCAGTGGGCTGGCACAGGGTAACGCACACACATTTCGCGTTTCACACAGGCGTCTACGTATCTGGACACTTTAACAATTCGTTCTAGTACAAAGGTCACTTTCTCGTAAGTCATGGTCGCAAATCAGCCCTGCGTAAGTATTGACGCTTTCTACAAGTTTATTATCATTCTTATTCAGGACAAACAGCTGAAGTGTTCTTTTGGCAATCAACTGCTTCTTAATAGACTAAACATTTGATGAAGATGCCTGGTGTCCCAGATAGTTCACACAAGGACACAGGCCTTAAACACTACAGAGGACATGAGCCTCTGTTAAATGTATAACATTCACTAATTATTAAAGGCATACTAATTATTAACTTGGATTTTTCCCAACAGTTTCTGATGAAGCAATTCATGTTCCCAGTGTACAGTCAAGTGTAACCGAACGCCGTCATTGTATTGACCGTCTCTACAGCAGCATGAAGTGTCGAGGTGTCTGACTCAAGAATCTTACCACTGGACTAGAAAACTTAAGCCCGACTGTAACCAAAGGCCCGCACAAGAACGAAGTGAGTGTCAGAAAAGAGGCTCTGCAGGTTTGGTAGCATATTGCAGGTGATCTATGTGAGATAAAACGGTTATCTAAAATTGTAATAGGTTTACATTTAAGTTCTGAAGACATCACCCAGTGACTTCACAGTGGATTTTATTCAATTAAAAAAAGCCTTTGTTTTGTGTTTGTCTGCTTTTTGTGGCTTTTAAAAGGTAGAAACTATAAAGAATATGTCCTAGGGACAGCAGACACACTTTGGACTCGTGCTAAATGAAAACAAAAATTCAGAGAGCTAACAGCGTCAACTGAAGGGCCAAAAAATAAGCTTTCCAACACGGTTTTATATGTGGCATAACTAAAAACTGAACCTGTGGATGCTTGTTTGAAACACTCAAAAGGGTTCCTCCATACATTATGCTTTAAGACGCAGATGAACTATGAACTTCAACTTCAGAAAGGGAACAATGTGTGATGTAAGGTGCCTCTGTCTCCCTCATGCTGGTCACCAACCCTGCTCCTGTAGAGCTGCTGCTTTGCATGTTTTAGGGGTCATCTGACTTTACATGCTTCAGAGAATACTGAGAATAATAATTTGTTAAAATGTGTACTTTCTTTATTTGACAGTCGACAAAGTTTTGCATGCAGTGGAAGTTAACTTAACCCAGCAAGTCTGAACAGTAACGGAACATGACGTAACTTAAACTGTAATGGAGGGAAATGAAGACGCTCTAGACATGTTTTGTAGACATCTTAACGCTGATTGGCCAAGACTCCACACGTCACATCAAAGATGTTTTATTGTGATGATAACAACATCATCTTTTCTCCTCGTCTTCTCCAGTCTGAGAAACACTCTGCTGCTGTTCACTGACGGGAGGGCAACACCTGTCTGTTAATCAACGATGGCTCTCAATATACCAGGCCTGATAATGATGGTGGCATTCTACTTGCTTGTTTTGGGAATCGGCATCTGGGCCTCTGTAAAGTCTAAGAAGATGGAGAAAAACACAAAAGGTAGACAGGTGGAGGTTTCTTTTTTGGCTGACCGGAGTGTCAGCTTGGTAGTGGGAGTCTTCACAATGACAGGTGAGTTTTGGTTTGCTTATTTCAAACACACAATATGGATCATCAGTGTCATTTATTTGTTATTTTGAAACACCTGTATAATCTCTGGTCTTTTCTATCCTCAGGTTTTTGTAAATTGGTCAGATACAAATTCCAGTTTGCATGTTTGTGTCACACACTTATTTTCTGAAACACTGTTCGAGCATTTCTTTAACCCTCCTGTTACTTTTGGGCTCAATCATTTTTTTTGCTTTATATTTAATGACTTTTCCTAATGTAATGGGGACAACTAGGTAAACATAAAATGAACATGATAATATGTTTTCAATGTCCTGTACACATGCTGTACGCATCGGTGTTCTTTGGGGTCGATTTGACCCCAGGCTGTTTTAGCTGTATAAAACATATAAGAATTGAGGTCATCATAACATGCAATTTTATAATCTTCAAAAAGCTTTAGGGCCCTAGCCTAACATAACCATAACTGTAGTAGTGCGAGAACCACTGATAGTTCAGGATATACTTGAGAGGACAAATTTAGAGGGGAGGCACGTGTATGGGGACAGTTGGAAAGACTTGGATGTGACCCACTTGCAAGCCTACATTGGGTTGCTCATTTTGGCAGGAGTGTACAAGTCAAAAGGCGAAGCAACAGCAAGCCTTTGGGCTGCTGACACTGGAAAGGCAATATTTACAGCCACCATGTCTCTGAACACATGCAATGTTTTCTCCCGTGTCATATGCTTTGATGACAGAGAGCAGGTTTGCCTGCTTTTTTTTCAGGCGAACTTGAAACTTTTCAATTTGAGCTGTGTGCCATCTTCATGCTCTATTAACCAGTAACATATACACAATATTTACCAATCCCAACAAATCTCACAAGTGTTACCTGTATTAGAGCATCAAAATTATTAAAATAGTCCTTGTAGTTACAGAATTGAAGTCTTTTAGGTATGGGTATGCCATTTTCGAGCAGAGGCCTAAAAATAGGGCTAGGGCTAAAGAAGTTTTAAATTGCTGGGGTCAAATTGACCACAAGGATAAAAGATGTTAGTCAATTTGAAGGTAACAGGAGGGTTAATCAAATCTACAGTACATTAATGATTCAACCATAATGATGTATCTGTGTTCTACTGTAGCTACTTGGGTTGGAGGTGCCTTCGTCATTGGTATTGCAGAGGTAGTTTATGACCCCACCAGGGGTCTAATCTGGGCTCTTGTTCCTCTGCACATGTCCATTTCCTTTATCATTGGTAAGTGTAAATAAAATGCTTTGGAATATGTCCTTTTTTCATGAGTTGTGTCTCAGATCAAACTGTTCCCATGTTTTGATTCATTAAATATTTGTGTCACTTCTATACAGTGTTCTTAAGTATGAAAAGTATTTCCTTCTTTTTTTAAAGGTGGACTGTTCTTTGCAAAGCCAATGAGGGAGAACAATTACATCAGTATGATGGATCCATTTCAGAGGAAGTATGGAAAAGGACTGACTGTGGTTCTTGCCATTATTCCACTCATAACTGAAGTTGTCTGGATTCCTACAACACTGATGTCCTTAGGTACACATGTACAAGTACACTCAGAGTAATGAATTTCCCTCATCATACTTTTCCTCCATTATGTGTACTGCTTGTGTTTGCATGCTGCAGGAGCAACCATGAACGTAGTTCTAGATCTGCCCTTCAGTGTTTGCATCTGGATCTCTGCTGCAGTGGCGATCATCTACACCGTTCTTGGCGGTCTCTATTCAGTGGCTTACACTGATGTCATCCAGATATCACTGGTGCTTCTGAGCTTGGTGCGTTTTTACACAATGAAAGTTAAAGATGATGTGTTTCCCATGTCATCTTTTCATATTTAGAGTCTGCTGAGTGATTTCCTCTTTCCACAGTGGTTGTGTGTCCCTTTTGTTCTCACCGGTAATGTTTATACTGACATTACTGAAACAGCATTCAACCACACATACCAGGGCTCCTGGCTGGGCCGGCTTGAGTCAGATGAAATCGGGAGATGGATTGATCAATTTCTAGTGATGGTGAGATGAACATTACAGTATGATGGTTTAAAATGCTCTGCTTCTTTATTTAAGATTTATCTAAAATTCCATGTTCACATGAGGCTTAAAGTAAAAATATAAAATGAATGTTTTATAACCCAGTTCTGATTTAAATATATCTCACTTATCTGAAGCTAAACGTTATGATGAACATCGCTATCAGGATAAAGTGTGACTTTGTTTGTTCCACATTTTATATTGTCTAGACTTTGGGCAATATGGCCATTCAGGATTTCCATCAAAGGATTCTGTCCTCCAGCTCCACGTCCACAGCCAGGAGCGTCTGTTTCATAGCTGCAGGGACCGTCATCATTGTAGGAATCCCATCTGTGCTGATTGGAGCTGTAGCAGCTTCAACAGGTAATCTCCACTCTTTACCTGTTGGGAATCTGTCATGTCAGGGTGGTAGATCAGCATGTTCTGGCTCCTGTGTTTCAGACTGGAACTCCACCTCATACGGTTCTCCTTCTCCATACGAGCGAGGGGAGACGGCCATGGTGTTGCCCATCACCCTTCAGAATTTAACCCCAGCATATATTTCTGCTTTTGGCATCGGAGCGATTGCTGCTGCAGTGATGTCATCTGCTGACTCTTTCCTTTTGTCTGCAACCACCATCTTCTCCACCAACATCTACCTGACCATCAGGAGTCAGGTGCAGTACAAGGAACAGGAGCATGGAAGTGCTTTACTATTTATGCCTATTCTCACCTCTTCACTGGTTCTCAGTTCGCTGTTTTACTGCTTTGCATATATTCTTTTTCTCAAGTGATATGTCACAAAATGTACACATAAGATAATATGCATATTTGTCTTCTGCTGCTATCACAGACATGTTATAGAAGATATTTAATCGTATAGAAGATTAAATATTCATGTTTTTAATGGTTTTGTTTTTAGGTATCCGATAAAGAGCTACAATGGGTGATCCGTCTCTCCATAGTGGCTGCAGGACTTTTGGGAACATCCCTCACCTACCTGGACAGCAGCATCATGGCGTTCTTTATCCTGGGATCGGACCTGTCTTACACCATCATGCTCCCCCAGCTGATCTGTGTCCTCTTCATCAGGGTTTCCAACGGCTATGGAGCTGCTGCAGGCTTTGTTGTTGCAGTGGTGATGAGAGTTTTGTGTGGAGAGCCGGTGTTTGGCCTCCCTGTGATCCTGCATTTCCCAGGATGCACTTTAGAGGATGGTGTTTACATTCAGCGCTTTCCTTTCAAGACCATTATCATGCTGTCTGCTATGGCCTCCATCCTGGTGTTTTCATATGTGGCCTCACTCCTGTTTAACAAGGGGATCCTTCCTGATAGGTTTGATGTGTTCAAGGTGAAATCACAGGAAGCACCACCACCAGCAGAGGGAGCCAGAGAGGCTGATAGTGAAAAGACTGATGCCCCAAATGAAAATGAACCAATGCTCGATACAAGTTGCTAATAAAATTTCTGTTGACTTTATGTCTTATTGTCTTTTTGTGACATTGTTGTTGTTGCCAATGATGTTCCCTGGTTTCTATGGTTGCACACTAATGACCTTCATTTTAAAGACCAAATGGTCAAACAGACAAACTCTACAAAGATCGTTTTCTTTTTCTACATTTCTATCACTTCTGCTTTAATACATATGATTATTAATAAGCACTAAATAGCAATCTTTGTTTCATTGGGGTTTTTTTCTTTCATGAATTTCACAAAATATTTTATTCTTTTATTCCTTAGCCTATTTTTTTCTACTAAACGATATGTGCCCACTGTATCATATGCAGAACTGTGGGGTAAGATACATATTGTTAATGTGACAGTAGATGATCCTGTATTTTTTATCATGGTTTGATGCACAATGAGGGTGTTTTCTCATGTGATTCTACTGCATGTCAATTGTGTAATTGATCGTCTCTCTCTTATTCTCTCACACGGCGCATTGTTTGAATACAGTCATTAGGCGCTTTCTCAGAGAAGGGAATCTTCTCATGTAGCAACTTAGTTACACAAGAGGCAGAAAGTCACCACTGATTTGAATGAAGACAAGGTAACAACTTAGAAGAATCCTGTCGAACAGGAATATGTCAAGGACACTTTAAAATGCACGATATGCCAGTAAGTCATGCAATGACTTCAGCAAACACTTTGTCTGCATATTCAGATTTTATCTTATTCTTAACAATACTCATGACATTATTAGTAGTAATTCTTAACCTGAAAAACATGACTAATGCATGAATGTGTATACACTATATGTTCACTTCCTGCTGCAGCTACTTGGGTCGGAGGTGGGTTTATCATTGGAGATGCAGAGTCGGTTTGTGACCACACAAAGGGTCTAATCTGGGCTCTTATTCCTCTGCAAATGTCCTTTTCCTTCATTATTGGTAAGATCCTCTTAAAAATGGTATTCACATCCCAGATAAATCACATAAAGAGCATATAAAAGCCACTATGTGAGGCCAATGGTATGTCTGAAATGTCTTGTCCTAATTACATTTCAAGCAATACACTAAGCAATAATAAACAAGCTTCCGAACCTTGACAAAAATACCCTAACTCTTTTTAAAGGTGGGCTGTTCTTTGCGAAGCCAATGTGGGACAAAAACTACATCACTGTGATGGATCCATTTCAGAGGAAGTACGGAAAAGGACTGACTGCGGTTCTGGCCATTGTTCCCTTTATAAGTGAAGTGATGTGGGCTCCTGTTGCACTCATTTCCTTGGGTAATACAAACACATGAACAGACTGGCACATTTTCTTCCACAGGTGTTAAACAAACGTTGATATGATAAACTTGTTCCACATAGCATCTTATGCGTTTTAAGTACATGTGTGGGTGTGTTTTTTATGCCTCCAACAGGGGTCTCTGTTAGCTTCTTTTCCGGTCTGCCCTTATGTCTTGGCATCTGGATCTCTGCTGAAATAGCCATCATCTATACTGCTCTTGGAGGTCTCTATTCAGTAGCTTACATATATATACAGTATATATCATACCACTGATATGAATGGCATACCACTCTGATTCAACGACATAAGCCACTAATATGAACTTTCAAGCAGCACCTGCCTTCAGGAAAAGGTGTGCTGTTGGAAAAGTACTGGCATACCACCCCAGGGATAGGCACATACCGCTGAACAACAGTGGCACACTCCAGGGATAGGCACATACCGCTGAACAACAGTGGCACACTCCAGGGATAGGTACATACCGCTGAACAACAGTGGCACACTCCAGGGATAGGTACATACCGCTGAACAACAGTGGCACACTCCAGGGATAGGTACATACCGCTTGTTAGAAAAAATTATACTCGACACCAAGTGTGAAATCAATAATCAGGAGATTTATTCATGCAAGAAGGAGCAGAGTTACAGCACATACAGTTATGCGTCTCGTTGCTTGCTGAGAGATATGTCTCTTAGTCTCTGTCTTTTATACACAGTGATAAACAAGCATCATAACAGGGTAATGTGAAGGTTTGAACCAGTACTTCCTTATCTTCCTTTGAAACAAATTTCGATGGTGAGACTGAGTGCAGGTGTGTTTTCTGTCTTCGAAGACATTCTGTGGATTGCAAGGTCACTGCTATAATGAAGCAGTTTCACTGTCTGTTTTTCAGTTACCAAGCATCATGGAAAACTACAAGCATTATGCAAACATCGTTCTGTATTTTTCCAACAAGCTGAACAACAGTGCCACACCCCAGGGATAGGTACATACCGCTAAACCACAGGTGGCACTGTAAAATCACTGTAAAACCCAGTTATCCTACTACCACATACCGTAATCCAGTACATTACCGGTATTTTACGGTGAACTTGTTTAGAGTGCACTGATATGATCATTATCAAGACTTTACATGCTTCAGTTCGTCACTGGCAGGAGCTGTGTAAGAGTAGAATGAAAATTAAAACCCGCTTGTGATCATTTCAAAACAAGTTTCACTTGCAGTGGTGATGAGAGTTTTGTGTGGAGAGCCGGTTTGAAAAGACTGATGCCCCAAATGAAAATGAACCAATGCTCGATACAAGTTGCTCATTCAATTTCTGTTGACTTTATGTCTTATTGTCTTTTTACATTAGTTGTTTTGATAGAAGCTGCTGACAATAGTCTACTTTTTAGATTGGAAACTCATGAGAACATCTTGCATTGTGGATTACCACGTTTTGTCAAAGCAGTTGAGATAAAAATAGGCAACCAGGGATCTCAGGTTACCGACAGAGGGCCACGCAGACCCCAATGATGTAACAGCATCTCCAGTCTTACCAAAGATGATCAAAACAGAAAGACCTCTCACTCTGTAGCTTTTTCTTGTTACAGCAATGTCATCACAGCCTATCAAATTCTTGATTACATGTAAAATGTTGAATAGAGATATTCAGTTTTTGTGATTTATTAAAAAGCAGCCAATTGCCACATTATCACTGGTCATCAAAATCTTCTGTCATTGCCGAGGCTGTTTTTTTAACTAATTAAAAAACTTGTTTCAGCACAGATGCAAGATTTGTATGGAAGGAACGTAATTAGATAATTAACATTTCAGGATAAAGTCATGGTGATGAACCAGCACAGTATATTGTCCACCGCGTGACACATCCTCCGTGATAAACGATCTTCGGCCACACACGCCCAGCCTCAGCACCAGCGCATCCTTTCTCCACGGGGCTTTCCCCCCATCCGTCCGCACCAACATTACAAGAAACCATGAGAGGGATGAGGCCTTCATGATAAGGACAAACACTACCGGACCTCGTTCTTCTCGTCTCGAGCTCGTTTCTCGCGGTTCGTTATGTCTTTGGGCCTGCTCCCCCTCTCGCCATGCCCGTCGCTGAACGCTCCCTGCTGCCGCTGCCGCTGCTGCTCTTTCTGCCGTCGTTGCTTTTGATTTCGTGCCTCGATGGGGCGGTGAGAGCAGCGGAGGAGGGCGGCGGCCTGCCCTCCTCTTCGCCCGGGGACAATGGCCTCGCAGTCGCGGTCGGAGACCCGTCTGCCACGGAACCGACCGCCCCGGAGCGATTTCTCAGCCCCTCCGCTGTTACAGAAGGTAAATAAAAACAAAAACGAGCTCTCCATCAGCCAGTCATTGTTAGAGAAAATGGAAATGAACTGCAACAGAGGAAACAGTGTGACTCATAACTGAATCAGGTAGCAGTGCATCTCATACGTTTGTTTTTGTACTGAAGAGGAGAGCCGGTTTAATCGTTTTGTGATTTCTTTAGATTATACTGGACATTAAAATTAGCTCTGCTGCAGTTTTCATTGATTTGTGGGAGGCGAAAGCTGTAAGTCTGGCTACAAACACAATTTAAATTGTGCAACGATGCCACAAAATGCAACATTTCATTTAATCTTTTCAGTGGCAGAATAATGGATATACTTGCAGATATGAAGGAAAAGTTGCTCAAACATTAACTATTTTAAGCAGAAACATGTGTTAGATTGTTTTGCCATATGCTTAACTGGAGAAAAAGTTGTGGCTCCTATTATACGTTGTTAAAGGAACGGCTGTCTTCAAACACTAAGTGACACCATTAGTCTGAAGAATGATCAGCTATTTCTATTGATAAGCTATTGGATGTAATTCAGAGGCCGTCTGGCCAACAGGCTAATAGGATTAAGATGTATAATGTGGAGGTTTGGGGGATTAGGGGTTTTATCTTTTTGGACTGAGCAGGTGATGCATTAATGGAGAACACGGTAATCCTGCGCTGCTCTGCTGATACAGTACCTGTACTCATTGACGGCCTCTGTTTACAGCTGGTCTGGGCATGGATGGAGGGTTTACACACTGTATAAAAAACTAAAACAAATTACACTCGAATGCTTTCTCCTCCAGCGGCCACATTAGTGTCCGATTTACAGAGCACTACTTCCTGTATATGAGTCATTAAGCTCAATACATCCAGCAACTACACTGCTAAAGATTACTGTTCATTAAAACAAAAATAAATCACCAGTGAGGATTAGAAGGTCTCCATTAAGAGTAATTTACTAGTTTTTATCCGCACTACATTAAACTACACTAGAGAGCAAAATGCATTTTTCTCAACATTAAAAAAGACGAAAATGTTCCCGCAACAAAACATTGATACTGAAAATTAGAAATATGAGCTATGAAAGCTACATGTATGTGTTGGAAGAGAAGACATGTCTCACGTGCCACTTGGTTATGATGTATTTTTCATTCTCCCACAGACTCAGCTGTGCCTGCCTCATCACTTTTTCATGGTGAGAGAAAGGTTACCGAGTACTGCTGAGAGGAAGTGGTTGAGGCTGGTCTGCATACAGATAGAACACATGCAGAGACACATGTATTACCACAAACAAATACTTTCTTACTCTAGCCGCCATACTGATAGCTTACCAAAACCAATCTATAAATATAGTTAGTTCGATTTCACGGAAAGTTGGTCAAGCAAAAGCCACAAAAAGGACATCATGGGTGTGTAAATCAAAACACATTTTCTCTCCAGAGCCCCAGTTTGCCCTGAAGGTCCTTGTGAGGGACCTGGTGACCCGTCAGCTGCTCCCGGGTGCTTCAGTATACGTTTACGTAAACCACACCCTGAGGAGCTCTGCCCGGACGGGGGAGAGAGGCGAGGTTCTGCTCTGGGTAGTGTTCAGTCCTGGACTCAGTCTGACTCTGCTGGGCGACATGGAGGGCTACGTCCCCAGCCCCCTGCCCTGGAGCACCACCAAGAGACCGAGTGAGTAACGCCCACAACTACTTTTTAAACCTTTGGTTTGGCTGACTGACAACTCATTGTGTCTTTATGTTCACACAATAATTGTTTACACAAACTGTCTCGCAGCTCTTAGTAGTTTCTGAGGAAAACATTCTCTCACACGGCCCACATTGTCTCCCTTATCTACGAGTCAAAACCCTGGCTTCTCTGACATAAGAGCGCAGACTGTGGCTGTTAACATACACTCTGCTGAAATGCTGAACTCTGCATCCTGACCAGCTCCAGGGTCACAGCTGACCCTGACCTCTCCTCGAAGGGACGCAAGTAAAGAGGATTAGCCAACACGGATCGATCGCCGTATAAAGGGGGAAGAAATGGCATTCAGCAGATACTCTCACTAAATTTAAAAGCCTCTGCTTTGCTCAATTTCTTTTACACATATACTATTTTAGCCATGTAAATGTTATGGTGTGAGTCTATTAAAAAAGGTTAAAATGCTAAAACTGAGGGAAATGCTTGTGCTTTATAATAGGCTGTGCAACCATTTGTGAGCACAATATTCACACTACTGCATTATTCATGGTCATTACAGATTAATGAAGTGTCTGCGACAACACACAACTTGTCACTGAGGTTAGTTCCTGATGAAGCAATTCATGTTCCCAGTGTACAGTCAAGTGTAACCGAACGCCGTCATTGTATTGACCGTCTCTACAGCAGCATGAAGAGTCGAGGTGTCTGACTCAAGCGTGGGGGAAACATATCCCTGCCTCAGCAAACTGTCTTTGTCCTGCACCCAATCAAAGGCAGAGGGGGGGGGGGGGGGGCTCTTTAGCCACACCGATCTCATGTTTGTGTGAAGAAAAAAGGGGGCCTGAGTCTGACTCTAATGTTTGTGTTCACACTTCCTCTTACTGGCCTGTATCAGGCAGAATAGAAACAAAGATGGAGCAGGTGTCATGAGGGATAAAAAATCAGACGGATGATGAAAGAGCGTCATCTGTCGAGACCTGCTTTGCTCTGCGTGATCAGAGGCGCCTCCCTTTTCTGCTGCCGAGCCAGACAACCGAACCCTAAAAAGAGGATTGAGGAAGTATTGCCACCTGCTGGTGGTATGACAGGCCTGCAAGTCACCAACAACAGCTGCTGTGTTTAAAAAACAAAGGAGAATGAGAGAAGCTTGACATCTCTCCTCAGTTATGATCCCTGGTTACATATTAAATCACTTAGAAAGGGAACGTGTATATTTAAAACTAAAAAGTGGTCAGTTTTCATTGTATCTCTCATTTCTCAAATGATTATTATCGATAAAGTACCACTTTTGTTCTTCATTAGTTCTATAATGGTGACTTTTTTATAGTATGTCATACAGTCATATCGGATGTCATGAATATGTTAATATTAATTGTATAGTATGTCATAAAGAAATCATAGTAATCTGTCACAAACCTGTTATAAAAAGTCATACTATAGTATGTCTTGGAAAGAAGATGCTAAAAGTGTTTGTGTTTTGTTTGTCATCCTGCAGTTTTCTCTGCTGTGACGTTGCTGCTGCTCCCTCACAGTCAGGGGAACATCTGGCTGTTTGAAGACTCAGTACTCCTCACCGGGAAGTTACCTGGTAGGTTTACACACTTCTTACAGGTCACAAACAATTCTCCTTCATCTCAATGAGCAAAGCAGAACTTTAATTTGTAGAAGAACACATCCTTGAAAAATAGACAAACAAATCCTGAATTATTGAAGCTAAACGCGACAGCTTTAATCAGTTCATCGGGGTAGTTTTCAAGTTGCACAGATTAAAGTAGAGAATCAAGCAGATACCAAAAAAACACAAATATCTACTGTATTTGCAATAAAAATACATATACATAAGTGTAATCATTAGTCATAAGTGTAAGTGCCATCTTGTTTTTACAGATCGCTCGTTCCAACCCAAGGTTAAGTTCCCCAAGAACCTTCTCACAATGTCTGATAAGAGCAACGTGTCCTCAGTGACGGCGTACCTGACTGTACCACAGCACCACCTAGCGAAAGACTGTGCCAACTGCACTCCGGGCATCATCAGCAAACTGTCATGTAAGCTTTAAATCAGCCACCATTCCTTTCTCAAGATACACTCATTTACAAACAGTATTTTAAACACTTAAAGATTTTCATTTATTTACGATTATTCTTTACTTTATGTTTAAACTACAAAAATGTAAGCATACAAATGTATATCGTCATTTAAATGTGTGACATTGACTCCTCTCACTGGATTTCTCCTCCTTGTGTCTGCAGTGTTCAGGAGCATCGAGCTGAAGGCGGTGGCAGCCGTCAGTGTCCTGCTGTACTCTGGTGGGGAGGAGCTCCAGGTTCGAGGGCCCATTCAAATCAGCCTACCCCTGGGACACAGCACGCACCTCAGGGCCTCCGATACTGTGCCAGCCTGGGCCTTTAACCTGAAGACAGGTACAGTAAGAATCAAAGATGACAGAGAAGCCACCGCATTACAGTATTTACACATGCAGAGTAAGGTTAATAGAGAGATCTGGCATTTGGAAGAAACAACAAAGTATCTGTCAGTATTGTAAGCTGATGTGATCTATTCACGGATATACTGCAATGTACAATAACAACAGGAGCCTGGGAGAATCAGGGTCTGGGGATAGTGAAAACTGTTGGTGATGAGCTGGTTTGGACCTACACAGCTTCTCATCTGGGCTACTGGATCGCTGCCCCCTTTCCCTCATCAAACGGTACATAACTCATCTACCATCATCAACTCATGTATATACAAAATGTGTATTGGTACATTTGTCATGTCTATCTTTAAATTTGACCATTTAGATTACCTGGGACATGGAGGCTCCATTGATTTCATATTACATCATACCTACCTGCTGATGGGAATACTGGGAGCAACGCTGGCTGTAGTGATTGGATTTCTTTCCTTGTTGCTGTGTCACTGCCGGTAAGAAAGCTGCTCAGAAATGTCATCGTCAGGTTCAATTTACAGCAGATACAACACATTTTACATTTCTTAGATTATATTTAGTAAGACTTAATTAATCATTTATGAATGACTGTGAATTATTTTCAGAAAGTGTTTTTCTATGTACTGTAAATAAAAACCCTCATTTACAGTTGGCCTTATTGAGACATCAAATGTTTTTTCATTTAAAAGCATGCGTTATAGAAGTTATAGAGAAATCCTTTACATTTGAGGCCAAGTTTTCAGGCTCTTAAAACACGGTCAAAGGACATTCCACTATGATACTATACCAAATAAATGCTAACAGTGCATTTGACAACCATTTTGAAAAGAGTCTTTACAGATATAAGTGTCTTGTAGGTAAAAAAAATACAGGCTTTAAATAAATGGAAAACAACCCTATGAAATGTCCAATGCTGATTAAATTCAGTTTCTTCCATTTAGGAGAGGTGCTTATCGAGAGCCCAGGAGGAGGAGAGCACGTTTTTCCAAACTCAGCGTGGTGAAAAAAGACCAAACCACCTCCACCCACATGGAAGAGGGTTTGTTGTTCCGTTCTGGCGACAACAGCCTCGCTTCCTGCAGTGTCCAGTGTGAACCCTCGTCTACGCCGAGGCACAAAGCCAACTACAACATCTATGTGGAGGATCCAGGGAGTCGCCCGGCGGCTCCTCTTTATGAGAACATTGCTCTGGATCGGCTCAAAGGCTCCCAGCCGCCGTCTCACTACATCAACAGTGAAGAGGTCGCTCGGCTTCGGGAGAGGTCAGAGCAGAACCGGGCCAACATGAACTCTGACAGCTTCTTTCAAGATAAGATGGTTCATATTTACAACCAGCCAGTGGCTATTATTCAGGCGCCAGAGCTTTTCAGTGCTCAGGAGCTGTCGGGCTGTAAGTCTGCTACTTTCCCCCGCAATGGAGTTGAGTATGATCCTCACTCACAGCCTGCAAATAAAGAAGGCTACACCCAGACACTATCCAAAGTCCCCCACCACCACTCCCAAGGTGGAAGCAGCCCACAGCAGAGCAGCCAAGATGAGCCCCAGCCTCTGGAGACTCCTCCTCAAGACCAAGGCCCCAACACCGTTGTGTGGGGGCGCTACAGTAACCTCCTGGAATCCTCCGTCTCAGTGCCCGGGACTCTTAACGAGGCAGCTGGTATGCGGGCCTTCAGCAGTGGGCATGGTGTACCCAGTGAGCTGCAGGGGATTTCAGAGCGCACCTTGCTGGAGCTCACCCGGGGCAAGTGTCACCCCAGGGCCTGGTTCGTCTCCTTAGACGGGAAGCCGGCCGCCTCAGTTCGCCACTCCATTATTGAGCTCCATAGCCGCCACCGTCCACTGAGCAGCAACGACACCAGCCTGGACTCAGGGGTGGACATGAACGAGCCCCAGCAGAATATTCGCGAGATGGAGCGCGACAGGCGATCGATCAGGGCCTCCTCCCTGCCACACCACAGCAGAGGGGGACGTTATGGTGAAGACCAGGACCTGAGCAGTAGTGAGAGTGGCACAACGGCCACCTGTACGCCAGAGGACCCTTCCCTGAGAAACATTTTAGACGGGAGCAGTGGGGCCATTCCCAACATTCCTGAAGAGCGAGACGGGATGGATACATCCAGCGCTCAGGAGGACAGCGAGTCGAGGGGAACGCCGCCTCCACGGCGCCTGAGGAAGGTGAGGGAGAAGGGAAAGACAGAAAAGAGGAGTGCCAAGCACATCCGTGAGGGGAGACCTCTGACCAAGAGAAGTTAAAGCATGGTGCGTTGCAAACATAAAGACAAGCATTTTTCATCAGTGCTTAATTTGAATGACCCATTAACCATTTAATCCACATTGAGCTATTTTCATCACATGGTGTCATCAGTGCCGAGTCGTCCAAATACGTTTATACCACTTGTGCTCACGCAGGCATTGTTGTTGTCGAGTCATGTGATTGTACAACTTTGCCAAAGAATTCATATAGCTCAAGAAATAACGCAGCATCTGTGTCATGTTGAAGCATCATGTAGCTGCTGTTAGACAAGATTGTGCACCATCATCACGAATCTGAAGATCACCAGCGAGATTCATTACAGCAAAATCTCCGTGAGAAGACGATATCCCATAGTCCCCAGTACTGGCATTATAGAGGGTGCCTTCTTACTGCCTGTAATCATTGAATATGATCACATGAGGCACGGTATTTGTCTATATTTAGTAAAATCTGGTGAGTTTGCAGGATGGACACAGATACAGGTCTATGTGTAGTGCACTTATCCTCACCACTAATGCCTGCTGTAAATTCAATTAGATGTAGAAGCGTTCCCCGTTTGCAAAACTGACATCTTGTTTTGACCATTCTGCCTCATTTTAGTTAAAAAGATACTCTGGGGTTCATGAAAATACTCAATTATGTCAAAATGTATGACATTATATTGGACTTGTTGACTTTCCGCCTTTCACCGACTCCGATGGATTTTGGAGTAAAACACTGTTGTACATTGAAAAGCTAACCTGCCATTTCAAAGTTTTCACCCCTGATATTCAAGGTTTAAGCCTATAATTATTTTAGAATGCATGAAAATGATTGTTTCCTTGCGTGTATGAAAGTATTTTGCTTTTTAACGACGAGCTAACTTTCCGTCTTCATAGCTGTTCGATTATTCGGGGACTGAATGGTTTATTTCATCGTCTAGTCTCGGAAGGAGACGTTGTGTTGTGCTGCCAACTGTAACTACTGTAAAGAACTATGACAACAATAACACCCCAGAACTTCCACACTATGATTATTATCACAATGAAACACTCCCAGTTAAGGCCTAGATTGCCTGTCTTTGCAATGTTATCTTAAGGAGGCCAAAAACCCTCAGCTTAGCCCCCCAAGTTATGCATCATTTTTCCTTTATGTTTAAAATAGCATACAGTATCATCCCTTGTGATTATATAACATGAATTCGGTGCCTTGGATTTTTTTCTTTCACAACCTGTATTCTCAAACTATACTTTGACATGAACATATTTACTTCCTGACCGTGGGATGTTTGCTTTTTTGTATTGACAAATATGACCGAAGAAAGAAAGATGATTTTAAATAGATTTTTCAATTGGAATTTTTTTTAAATCTAATTTTGTACAGACATTCCCAGAGGGTGAATCCTATACTGACTTTGATCCGTCTCCCACCGTGAGTTGGACGTGTAGTTTTGTGTCAAATGTTTCAACAACTCTCAGATGAATTCATGCCTCCCTCAGAATGAATTGGAATAACTTTGGTGAACCCCAAACTTTCATTTACCACCATCATCAGGTCAACATTTCAACCAATTTTCAACAATTATGTGTACGGATGCATTTAACGTTGGTAAACAACAAAGACACAGGTCCTCTACTAATTGACACGGCAGCTTTTGTCTTGAGTCAAATAAAGCACACTACACTTTAACATGTGCCCATTTGTTACACTGGCACACAGCATTCGCAGACACCTATTACATTTTCAGAGTGTAAATACTGACATCATTGACCATACTTAATAAAGTTTGGCAAAACATTCACCACGAACACCACAAAGCAGTTTTACTGGCAATATTACCCATGAATTAAAATGGAACTTTGCAGCAACAGTTTTGCCATATTTAGTCTTCCATCATATTGTAAATGTGTTCCCTGATGAGTTCACTTTGTATTTATAAGGCTCAATTATGTAGCTACATTCATGTGTTCTTTTGTATGTATATAGTAAAGCAACATTTTATGTATTCTGTGGCTGTGATTTTACTTATTTTGTGCTGTTTTTCTTTCATCTAAAAGCAGAATTCTGAAAGGTGCATCAGAGTGCAGCAGTGAATGGTTGAATGATTACGTTTTTCTAAAGGTTAGCCTAAAGAGTGAACAACAAGCCTGAGCTTTGTAATTCTACATGTAGCAACAAGTTGAGCACTTAATCATTCCGTACGCTTACTCCCGCTAGTCATCAGCTTGAACACACAGCATACCACAGCTTACACAGCAACACGAGGAGTAGTTTGTGAACACTTTGTGCTGATAATTCTTGACAAGCAAATCAAACCTACTGCCACTCCTGTTTAAAATAGATCTCGCTGAATGTATTTGTATTGATTTGAATGTGTTCTATAGTGTGCTCCTCTCGTGTCTCGCCATTGAAACTCATGGACTTTTGTTTCTTCCTAAATGGGCACCCTTGTGTTCACCTCTGTGATGATGGTAGTGTTATTAGTCTTGCCTTTTTGTGCACAAAATTAATAAACTTACTTGATACCCATTATTGTTCAGAAGCTTTTTTTATTCTTTTTCAACATATTTAATTATGTATAAAATACATTTTAGCAGAGTCACACAAAAACAACATTTCAGATTGACATCTTTCTGATTAAAGAGTTACACATGTATATTTATTGATTGGTTTAGTCTAAGTCTGTCTTCCTTTGTTGCTGCGTGTTTATCAAGACTCCCGACATTCTGAGCTCTGAAACGAGTCGGTTGTTCGTATCTTTAATGGCTGCTGTGCCGTATGTCCTTTTGGGTTGCAGTCTAGCTGCGTGGTCTGACTCGGTTCTACACAAACCTACAGAAAGGTTCAGCTGTGGTTGCTCTCTGATTGTTGTTACACTTACTCAGATGATCTTTATAATAGATCACCTCTTGCCAAATCATTCACACGACCATAACAGCTCTTCACAGTGTCTGTAGCTATGCACAAGCCCTGAAACCTATCAGTTAATAACTGGTGTGGGGTGTTTAAAGTTACTGAAGAGCCTGTTAGCACTTCTAAATTAAGAGAACTGTGTGAGGGAGAGACAATAGTGTTCCTGTCCCGCAGTGCCACTCCTGGAATAAACAGGTCTTTTAAGTTATTATCTGGTGGTGTGGCACAGAACAACTTAGGGTAGGTCTTTCTTTCACTGGTCCTCCAAATCGAGGGGTTATAAATGACATATCCATCCAAGGGGCAGGAGTTCGACTTCCGCAGGATCCCGTCCACACAGTTGGCATGGAACTGAAGTGTGTGAACATTTACGGGGGAGGAGGAGGAGGCAGCTTGGTAGTTATTTTGCATTATGTTTGTGTATATCATTATGATTTCATATTTTTTATATTTCATAGTCTTAGCAGGGCCAGTGTGTAACAATTTGGGGGACGTATTACCAGAAATGTAATATAATATTTTTCTTTGTGTATAATCCACCAAAACTAAGCATTGTTGTGTTTCCGTTAGCTTAGAATTCATGTCGTTTGAATACTGATAGCTAAATAATGCGAGCACACAATGAAATGTTTTACCTTGTGATGGCAGGGCAGAGTTCGGACATGTTGGCCGAGACTAAAATCCAGCAGACAGATCCGACACTGTTGTCCCACATCCAAGAGCCGAGACCCCGGTCTCACTCTGACCGTAGGAAGACAGTCCAACACATGTTCTGGTAGAGGGTCTGCAGCTACAGGGATGATGCTGGGGAGCAAGATGGGAAATATTGAGCAAAAATGTTTATAGCAATCAGAAAATAGCAACAGGGTTTCTTCGAACCAATAATTTGTATTAATATAAACTGTAAAGTCACTGACATTGTGGTCACAGGTATTTTGTGACTCAGCAATCAGAAGTGTGGAAAATAAATAGCTTATAACTTTATATCACCTTAAGAAAACCATCTGTGTTCTGAGTGAATGGGTCCAATTTCCACAGCCGAAATTAAAATTCATTTTCTGGATGTATTTAATAACTTACCTGCCGTTTACTGACTGAGGGGTTGCTCCCCTTGGTTCATCCTTCAGGTCGTCGGACACACGGTGCCACTTTTCTCTCCTTTTCTGTTTGAGGTTTACTTTTTACTCACTTATTTAGTCACTTATCGTAGCAGAAATCAGAAATGCTTGTTCATTAAAACTGCTCACCACCAATAGAGATATTAGTTTTTTACAGTAAAATGATTGCAATGTGTGGCATTAAGACCACTGTAAAGTTTAGAGTTATCTAAATCACTGTATTTTCAAGACTCCTGAGGTGGGAGATGCAGTACAAGTAATTTCAAAGCTGAATCAAGGCTTACTGTTCGTGAAGCAAATGGATGCTGTGGGTGACAGCCCTTCTTTGAGCAGTCCTCACATAGATAGAAGTATCTGCAGACTGTGCATCTGAAAGCATGACAAGAGATTAAAGAAGACATGGGAGCACAGTATGACCATTATTCAAAATAAACTACAACATGCCAATCATCATACTGTGATTGAAACTGATAATGTTGAATGTTGGACTGCCACTTGCTTACTTGAAACATTTGCCAGTGACAGGGCAGAGCCGGCAGCTGTCACAAAGAACTCCCAGGTGCATGTCTGGCTTCTCTCTCTCAGAGGCAGTGAAGAGCTTTGCTGCATTTTTCACCTGCTCTTCGAGTAACTTCAGAGAGCTGAAGTCCTCCCTGCACAGAGGGCACTTCACTGTTTCTTTCCTGTCTGACAGTCTCTGATGATCCGCCCACACCTTCATGCAAGAGATGTGGACATTGTTGCCACAACTGAACCTGGGAGAGACAAGGACGGCACATGAGGGTGCAGATAATCTGTCTGCACAATGCTGAAAACAAACATTTTCCACTTAATTTCCAAACGTCCTCTTCTGTGAATATCAGGATATTTAAACCGAATTTTACAACATCCGAAAATCTGTGCTGGTGGTTTCCGCTCAACATTCTGTATGTCAACAGTTGGATGTGCTGTATTGGGACTGATAATAATTTATGGGGTCATGTTCTGGCCAGTAGTGCAACAAAAGTTGAGTAGAACATCTTACATCATCCTAAAACATGACTGTAATGAAACAATAACAGTGTGAAACCGTGACCCCAGACAGCTGCCTACATACCTGCAGTAAGACACAGGCTGTTTTTTCTCCAGCAGCACTTCTTGACAGATAGGACACACATCCTGGGCTTGGATCACTTTCCGGCAGACATTTCCAGCCTCCTGGCCAGTGACTGGTTGGCTCGGAGTCCCAGAAGCAGCAGATGGATCATTTTCTGTCCGGTAGTCTTTGGTTTGGTGTAAACCATGGAGCACCTCCAAGATCTGTCTCTCCACAAGTCCAAGCTGAAACGAATCTAGAGCAGGTATTTTAACAAGAGCACATGTACAAGGGTGGGTCAATTCATTCAAATTTTCTACAAACAGCAAATTGAAAGGTACAATATGCAATCAGTGTAAAAAAAAGTCCAATTTATCTAAACAACTTACATTCATGATCTCTGGGTAGTCTGAATTTCCGCAGTAAAACCCTGTCGTGATAAATATTTACAAGTTCATATGATGGAAAATGAAAAGGACTGATATATACACATACATTCAGTTATCAGGAGGTCTGAATATCATTCAAATGGTTTAATATATTTGTGATTTACAAAATAATAAAACTAAAAACAAAGTAAGTCAAACTAATCAATATTTAAAGTTGTATTAACAAAATAGCCAGGCCAGAATTTTGCCTACATAAAATAAAATTAAAAAGACAACTAAATTAAATTGAAATAAAGCAAAATATCTGATAAAAAAAAGTAAACAACACTAACTAACAGTTCTTTGCACTACATGTGCAATTTGATCAGTGGTCAAAAAGTTCTGAAAAGTACCAATTCCAGTTATTAGGTACTGCAAAAATTGAAAAGTTGAAGAAACAAAATCCATGGTTTTCTCTGGCAAATGTTCTTTCACACTGCAACACATTTCAGGGATACGTTTTCTTCTTGAACTGTTAAACATGCAACCTAGTGATATGAATACAAAATAAATGGCAGCATTCACCTCACAATGCTGCACATGACAAAATAAAAATTGTGAACATGAGAAATATTATTAGCCAAAACCTTTGGGTGTGTGTGTGTGTGTGTGTGTGCGTGCGTACGTGCGTGCGTGCGTGCGTGTGTGTGCGTGCGTGTGTGTGTGTGTGTTATTGATACCAGCAGATGTGTTTGCATGGCTCCTGCTCCTTGGTGAATACAGGGCAAGTGCACAAATGTGGGTCACCCAAGCACACCTAAACAACACGAACAAAAGTGGAGTAAGGATACAAAACCTGGTTTGTGGAGTTTTCAAAATATGCATCCTGATTCACAGAATAATTTACCGTGAAGTTCCTGACCTCTCCCTCCTCTCTGAGTAGAAATCTTGTTGGGCCGAAGGATTTCAGAAGAAATATAGTTGTGTTGAGGGCTTGGTCTTGGTGGAAACTCACTGCATCACTGACTGTGTTCCTGCAAGTAGTTTTCCTGAACATCCTGCTGCTGCAGAATAAAGATATTTATCAAGCATTGATAGAGACAAATCTATAGATAGCTAGATACTTTATTGATCCTGAGGGAAATTTAGGCATCTATTAGCTTCTACGAAACATACAAACCACAGATACACACAGGAATAAAGAATAAAAACACAGCAGTGAAGATCTGCTACAGACAACTGCGGCTATAATAAAGTATGTGCCAAAGGAGGCACATATGTAAATCTACCCCTAGCTTAACGTTAATTAGGTTAATTACATGGTCGCTTTTTTAACTTCCCTGTTAATGCAGCGTATTGAGAAAACAAATGCAACTCTTTCATCTGAACTAATCAACTTACCTCGGGAGGTGCACACATTTGAAAAAGTACCTTTCTTTGTGGATAAATTCCTAAAGACCAGCTGCAACTCACCGAAATGTCGTTAACGTTACTTTGCAGAACCAGGTACACACAACGCCGTGGCCACGGTAACCGGGAGGTTTCCATAGTGCGTTTGACCTGCAGAGGGAGCCGTTGCTAAATAATATAAACCCTTTTGCTGATTGGTCAGTTTTGTGCTTCCAGATTATCAGCAGTTATGTAGCACAAATGATATTTTTTTTTAATAGTATATGCATATCTGCAATCAGTCTGCAATCTTTTAGGTCTGAGACTCTTTCTGTGAGCTTGTTGACCTCATAGGATTATTACGTATTTTTTCCTCCCATGTAAATCAACTTTTGTCAATGCATATTCCCCATTTGCAACAGTACTCATGACCATAACAGCCACAGATACTAAAATAAATCACAAAAAACAACAATACATATGTAGGCACATTGAGTAACAGGTTACAGCATAATGCAATAAAGGTAATTAATTCAGTGAATTTATTAAATTAATTAAGTTCATGATTTACAGACTCTAAAGCTCAACACCCAGGATATTAAGGTTTACTTTACATCGTATATTATATATCATTCATAATATAAATGACACAGTATTATGGTCATCAATTGCATCAGTAGTTTTTAATACCCATTACACTGTAGGGATGTCCCTCTATCTGCCTCCACAAAAGCAAGCATGTGATGTCATCCACAGCCCCAGCCAGCTCTTATCAGGACAGCTCAGTGTCGCTCTGACTCTGCTGCGAAACACATGCTGAAGGTGTACTCTTGAAGAAACCTCTAAAACAGTGTTTTTTCTCTTCCTGCAAAGGTTCAACTCTCAAACTGAAGGAATACTCTTCAAGGCAAACACTGTGTGTTTATTCTTTTTTCTGCTCCTGTAAAGGTAGGTTTCCTGAATAGTTCCAGCATGTCGATTTTGATTCATATTTAAGCGCTGTGGTCATGAAAACAGGTCAAATGTTCGTTTTTGAATGTCACATTGAATTGTGAAATGTTATACTTCAGGATATATGTTATAGGCCACATGGACAACAGGGATGCACACATACACATCCAGTTGTTAAATGTGAGAGAAACAAATATGCTACCTCTTCACTTTGCTTGAGTAAAATGTGATGAAAATCATCCCCCAAAAATCTGTTTATTTACGAAACATGAGTATATGAAACTAAATATGTAAAGCTAATGTGTACATATTAAACGTATCCATGAATGTCTGCCACTTTGTGGAAACCTCCTTTGGTGGAAAGTCTTTCTCTGTTCGAGGGATCGCATTGCTTCTCAGAACTCAAATTGATTGGGATCATTTTAAGGTCAAGTAAAAAGAGGGTTAAGTTATGTTGTTGTGATTTGTGTATTTTCACTGTATTTTACTGGTGTTGAGTTGTGTTCAGTTGTGTGAAGGCCTATAGGGACGGATGATGCTAACTAGATTGGGCTATGAATGCTGTGGTCAAAGGTCCATGATATATACTTGTGTGTATAAAAAATAGATGAAATAAATATAATTTCTTTGTAACAATCACCTTTTCATAACATAGAAAACATCCAGTCTATATATATATATATATATATATATATATATATATATATATATATATGTTATTTACTCACTTTAAACAGTATCATGATAGATCATGATAGAGTAAAACTATTGATGACTATTTGATTGTATGCAGCAGAGAGAGAGAGATACGATTTGTTGCTTGTTACTGCTTTTCCTTTTTAGAACTGTCATAATTTCCATTGTTTCACATCTTGTAGACATACAGTAATTGTTTAACATTTAGTTTTCTGATGAAAGCATCTGGATAGTGACTTTGCAGCACATGCTTTTACTTAATTTGCCACATTTATGTCTTTTGGCCAAACCTTGGTTAAACTTGCTCGACATGCATAATAAGTATGCAGGAAGGAAGCTGTGAGGAACAGAGGAAGCAAAAGGACAAATCTGTAACCCTATGTCCAAATATGGAGACCTCCCTTTCAAAATTTAAAACATGGCTTTGCAGACAATCTTTCTAACATTTAAGTGGCTATTGTTACAAAGTCTGTAACAGTCTATGCTCTCCTTTTCTCAGTTACAAACCTACCTCAGAATACCCACGGTGATCAGAGCACAGATGGATCTAAACTGCTTCACGTATCTGCTGGTCCTGTGCGCCCTCAATAAGGTATAGCTGTTGTATCTGATCTGTGCAGTGGTTCACCTGAAATATGCTGTTTTAGCTAAATATGTCACCTTCACATTAATGTATCGTATGATTGTGCAGCGTCATCATTTCTTTTTAGATCATCGTCAGTTTTGAAGCAAGTTGTTTCAGTTATTCTATTAATTAGATTTTTTGTTTTGTTTCTGTATTCCATATATTCTGGCCATGCATTTGTGAAATTAGAGCAATATGATGCCAGTACTAAATATCGTGTTTTTAGAATATTTATAACCATAACTAAAGTTGTTTGCTTCTAAAAAGCAGCCTTCTTGTTATTTCTCTTTATTTGATTGACTGAACCATCAAATCTTCCGGATGCCGTCGTTAAAGGGGCACTCCAGCGATTTTGATATTGTGCCTCTATAAAGTTGAGGGACTAGTGAGAGACAGATTAAAAGAAGAATGGAAAAAATTGCATCAGCAGAGGATGAAATGTACTACTATTTAGGTCCTGATATGTGTCAAAGTTAATACTACACTTCCCATAATTCAACTTGATAGTAATTGTAGCTCCCCCAGAGCCTTTGAAGACATAATTCTGCTTGTGACATTGTCATTGCATTAAATGATCTATATCATGTGTTTTGTCAACTTAAGTTCTCATTTGTTAGCACTCACTTGACAGTTGCACTCTGATTTTGTATATAATCTCTCTAAAGCTGCTTGTTGTGGCGAGCCCTGAAGATGAATACCAGGAGCATCTGAACCATCGGGGGGAACATAAGTCGACGCGGAAACAAATCGCCACGGCCCAGTACGAATGTTTCCAGAGGATTGTGAAAGAATCACAGCGTAAAATGAAAACAATAGGTGAAAGGACTGTCTCAAAAACATCTTTTGATGTTACTATAATTCATATTAAGTCACTGTAACATTTCACTGTGTGTCCGTTGTTGTCAGCAGGGCCAGTGTGCAACAGGACGTGGGATGGGTGGCTGTGCTGGGACGAAACTGAAGCCGGACAAACGGAGCAGAGCTGTCCGGACTACTTTAAAAATTTTGATCCTAATGGTAAATTTTGTTGTTAACCCTTACTCATTTTATAAACCTTTAATATTTTTTGTGTAATATTGAGTTGAGACTATAATATTAGACATTTACTAGCTTGGAGCATAAAAACACTCCTCTATATCTGCAGTTAATACTTATTTTGAGAGCAGTTTCCCTGTTTTTAAAAGCTTAATTCTAGTTTTTAGATGATGAAGCTCTTCGGCGAGCTTTCTGATCATGAGTTAGATGTGACGTTTGACACCACTGTACGGTAGCTTATGTCTGTACGGTAGCTTAGCGTACGGACCAGCATAAAAACTGGGGATCGGTAAACAATCAAAGTTTTCATCTCCTCTAATTACCTCACTAATTAGCATGCTGTAGCTCATTTCTGTATTCCGTGAACAGAAATGTAAAATCGTGGTTGCAAATTTGTTGACAGCGATTGCATCCAAAGTGTGCTCAGAGACAGGCCAGTGGGGACGCCACCCAGAGAGCAACAGGACGTGGACAAACTTCACAAACTGCCAAGCCAACACAATACATCATGGGACAGTAAGGAGGAATAAAGACAATAGAAATATGTAAAGCACCTTTGACTGTGGAGTTGGATTCATTTTGTTTTCTTGCAGGTGGCAATGACTCACTTCTACTTGGTCATGATCGGTCACGGCCTGTCGCTGGTGTCACTTCTCATATCATTAGGAATATTCTTCCATTTTAAGTAAGTGTAGAAGCTCTCTTTATGTCTAAGTTATGCACATGAAAAGTCATGTCTAGTCTGAAATATCTTCTCTTGTAGGAGTCTGAGCTGTCAGAGGATAACACTCCATAAAAACCTCTTCTTCTCATTCGTGCTGAACTCCATCATCACCGTTGTCTGGCTTACAACAGTGGTGAAGAAACAGGGACACACATACAACGATTCAGTGAGTGATTCGACTCTACACGTTGAACCAAACATAGCTCAACATTTTCAGCGTCGGTAAAATCATGACGGCTCATTTTCTCATGTAGGTGAGCTGCAAGCTGCTCATGTTCATCCACCTGTATCTGTTGAGCTGCAACTACTTCTGGATGCTGTGCGAGGGCATCTACCTGCACACTCTGATTGTTGTGGCAGTGTTTGCAGAAAAACAACATTTCATGTGGTATTATCTGCTGGGCTGGGGTAAGTAAAGCCATATGTCAATATTTCACTTGGTACATTTCACTCTCTCGCACTGAAATGTCATAAAAGTTCTCATGTGGTTTTGCAGGTTTTCCACTCCTGCCAGCGGTGATACATTCAATAGCACGTCAGTGCTACTACAATGACAAGTGAGTGATCTAAAGGTACGATTGTATCTAAATCATGTGTCTCCATACTGTATAGTATGATGATCTGATTTATGCATTCACAGATGTTGGGTCAGCTCGGATACTTCCTTGCTGTACATTATCCACGGACCCATCTGCGCCGCATTGGTGGTAAGCACCAAGCCCTCGTGGAAAATCCAGATTTACTTAGTAGACACTTGTCAGGACTGTTGTGCAGCCGTCCTTACTTCGTGCTTGTTGTGAGGGATTTTTTCCTTCAGTATGGTCATCATGAAAGTGTTGAAAATGATCGTCACCATGTTAGACTTTCCTTTGTTTTTGCGTCAAATGTACAATAATGCCTTTTGGATTCCAGGTGAATCTTTTCTTCCTGCTGAACATCGTTCGGGTTCTCATCACCAAGCTGAGGGTGACGCACCAGGCCGAGTCCAGCCTCTACATGAGGGCCGTGAGAGCCACCCTCATCCTCATCCCCTTGCTTGGCATCCAGTTTGTCCTGCTCCCCTACAAGCCCCAGGATCACTGGGTCTCTGAAATCTACCTGTACATCATGGAAATCCTCATGCACTACCAGGTCAGTGCATACTCACAAGGAGTGTTCCACAGTCAAAAAGCATTTGTATTAACCAAATGAAAGTCACTAGTGCATGCTATTAAAAGTGCTGCCGACTGTGAAAGGGCAATATCCTCAATCATTTTGTGGTTTAAAATTTCAAATATTTCGAGAATAAGAGCATGAACATGTGACACAGTAAGCAGCTGTTTGAGCTTAGGGGATTTCCTGTCTTGTGTAATTTCTCAAGAAACTTTTTTTTCTCATGCAGGGTCTTTTGGTTTCTACAATATTCTGCTTCTTCAACGGGGAGGTGAATAATGAGCACTAACAACATTTCATGTTTCAAACTTAGATTTTGAATTCGCTGCCCATTTAATTCTCCCTATGAGATCAGGCCACCAATGCTTGAGTTCTATAGGGACAGAAAGGGACCAAGTGTCTTTCTAAGGGGCAGTTTCAGAGTTCACATGGCTTTTAATGGTAACATTGGACCTGTTCACGCTTGGCAATAAAAAGCATATGGTTCACAGAAGGACACAGAGCGAGGATTTTTTAAATTTTGAGGTTATGAGTCCCCCAAACCCATCAAGAAACCAAAAAGACAGTCTATATATTTTTTCAAATGGTTGGATTTAATTAATTCAGTTAACTGTTTGTGCTACATGTTGTTTAAAGCCCCTTTTCCTTTACAGTGAATGCATTAAAGATGTCGTTTGGTTGCTGTTTTCTCAAAGATAAGATGAAATGTGAGAAGGCGTTTAAATCCTTCGCCATCCTCCACACATCCCCTTTGTGTCTCTTCCTGCAGGTCCAGAGTGTTCTGCGGAGACACTGGAACCAGCAGCGAATGCAGTTCCACGGCACATTTGGCAACGCTGAGTTCTTCCGCTCGGCCTCGTACGTGGCGTCGTCGCTCACAGAAGTCCACCGCTGCTACAGCATCGAAAGCCACACAGAGCACATCAACGGCAAGAGATACTCAGACATATTCAGATCGGACAGCCCGTTCGTGTGAAGGTGGCGCTTCAGGCTCACTGTTTCTTTGACTTTTCACAAGATGTTATGAAGATTGATTTCTTCTGGGAGTTTTACCACTGTTCATGGCAACTGAGTACAAACTTTTCCCTTTCATACAAACTCACATATTTCTTTTTTGACTTTTTCTCACGAATATTACACAACAGAAGGAGCTTGAGACCAAAGCCACGGTTTCTTCATCATTATTTACATCCCACTAATGGAAAGGACACAAAGAAGACACGAAGAAGACCCTGTGATTCAACCGGCCTCACCGGCCTCAAAGCATTAACACAAGGAATAAATGCTTTTTGCATCACGTGGAATAAACTTGGACAAGAAGCTGTTCTGTTGAGCTGATATGTAAAGAGAGATGTTTTTTCTGGGCATTTTGAGGATGTTGATGCCATTTAGAAATGGGCAGTTATTGATTGAGGGTGTTGTGGAAAGGATATGCACAAAAACCCTGTCGAAATACTTCTCAAATCTGAAATAGCATTTCAGGTTAATAAACTTTTCTTTGCAGGCAGAAATAATGTCATCGATTAGTGCCGAAACAACAGTCGCTGGGAATAGCAAAGAAAGTGTTGGTCTCTCTGACTAGAGAGGCAACTGTTATCCCTTCAAGAAAGTAAAAGAGCAAAGTACCAAGATTCCTGTTGTTAGTACTCTCACTAGACTTGTAAAGTATAAAAAAGTGAAAACACTCACAAAAAAGAAGAAATAAACAGATAGCTTGCTTTGCTAAACATCATTCCTGCTTTGACTTTTGAATGAAGGCGTGCAACTCAGAATATAGGGAGAGTTTTCTATTTATGTATTATTTCCTTGAGCTAAGTTAAAAACAAATAAAGAGGTTCACAATAAAATGTTGTCAGAAACATACACTTACATTGTCTCATCCCGTCATGTCTACAGTCAATGCTCCGTAAGGCTCACCATTTTTCTTTCTTTATAACTGATTTTTCCAAAATGCTGTAGAGATTATTGTGAGATAATCACAGTGAAAATACGACTGAAAAGCATGTTTCTGTACATTTTATTTGTGTATGAATTAAGTATTTCAAGGCACAAAATATGAAGCCTTTAGTGTACTTTGTATATTTTTCCAGTCAACTAATGGTATAAAGTTGTTGAAGGTTAAAATGTTTTTAGATTCATTATGTAAAGATGTTCGTGTCCAGGAAACAATTTCAGCAGGAACTGACTTATGTTGATTCACTGATAGGATGAAGTTTGTCACCTTTAGTTAGAAATAAAAGTGAGAGTGAATTTCCTGACAAGTGAAGAGCTGCTGGTTTCAGCCTTCCAAAAAAAGAAAAAATAATAAAAGGGGGGAAATTATGTATAGCTTTCAACCAATGGTATTAGGTGATGTAAAAGTGTAAAAGTGGTCTTATATAGATGTAGACCATAGAATATAGTCAAAAGTCCTGCAAAAAGTTAGTAAGTGACTCTTGAGTTTAGAATATTTTACCACAGATGGACAGAATTTGATATGAACCATAGATGTGTGTATTTTCTCACTGCACAACATTAGTTGTGCAGTGAGAATCTCTTTGTCACAGTCTGAATCTCTTTGTTTGTATTGAAATATAAATGTAAATAAAGGCAGGCTGTTTTAAACTGATATTCGGGGGAAAAAAGAGTTACTGTTTTTGTGTTTCTTTCCTTAATGTCTCTTCTATTGTTCTCCTTAAAGACAAAAAGAAAAGAAAGAAAGAAAATATGCCTTTTTTTCCCATACATTTAATTAAGGGTGGAATTCCCTTGTCTGCCCGTAGAAAACGTTTCCCTCTGAAATGAGTATTGTTTCCAGACAAAGCAGGGCGTGTTGTCTGTTCCTCATCCAAAAATGTATATAGGTGACCAGGTGTAATTAGGAAGTCCCAAAGGAAAAGGGCTATATCTATTCTTTCAGTGCATCGTTCTTTAAATGAACAGAGATGCTGTTAACTTTACATGCCACTTCCCCTTCATCCGTCTACAAACACATGATGATCAGAAGCATGTGTGCTTGACGGTTTATCATTGCAAGTGATCTACGCGCTACTTGCATGCCTTTCACTGTGATGACCTCAATCCATGAAGGATTTTGTGGGTTTGCATGGCGCATCGCAGTAACACTAAACATCTGACACAACTTTTTACTTGCATCCTGTTGCATCAACATGAGAGAGTATCCTGTGTGGTATCTGATTGCACAGGCTTCCTTTAAAACGGAGATAAAAACCACTGTCAACTTAAAGCGTGCACACAAAAATCTCAGTGAAGATGTTTTTAATGTTTACCTGCCCAACATCGATCCCACATCCCTTTATTTACCTCCGTGGAAATCAGACCAGTGGATGCATTGCAGGCTTCCTATTTCTAAGAATACATTGCCATTGAACTCTTGATCCGCTGGCTCTTGTGTTCTGGTAGCGAACACTTCCTCTGTCTCATGACTAACACTTGTTTACTGGCTTAACTTCTGCACGCTTCTACTGAAGTTTGAAGCATTTAGCCGATGTTTTGAATTTCCAGTGTGCGAAATTCGTGGGTATTTGTCAGGGACATTTCCACAGAACTTGACTGAATGGAGACATATACATCAGTTTTCCTCGTGGTGCTGCAGAAATGTTTTGAAGACGATCACGTAAATCTGCTCCACATTTAGCTTTAATTTGGAGTGATTTCCCCTGAATGAGAAACAGACCATTATGACCGTAAAGTACAGTGACTTGATGTTTCAGCCGACCGTAATACATTTCTGCGGACCTCGGATTGTCCTCATAGCAGGAACAAATACACTGCAGGAATTTAGCTGGGAAGTTACCTCAGTAGGTACAAGCTAAACATTACATTCTGGTAGGTACAACGGGCAGAGAAATCCTTCAGGGACTCTGCAGAGGGACAGACAAAGACAAAGATCTATCTGTGAAGAGTGACATGCATGTATCATTAACATGGAAGGCTCCAAAAAAACTCAAGCTTGATACTGTTCAATCATTCATTCATACCTAAAATTAAATTCATTCTTGTAATGTCACAGAACAACCTGCTGGGAAAAAAACTGGAGCTCAGACGAGTTTGTGGGTCATTCAAATAGACTCTTCCTTAGAGAGGGACATTTCCTATTTGTCAGGAGTATGAGTGCATCCTTGGAAAAAATCCTTGATACACAAGATATGATGCACTTTACCTTCCCAGCAACAGTGACAGTGGTATGTTAGGAATGCAAAGAGTAAAAAAAGTAGAGCCAAACACCATTAGAGGTGAAGCCAGAAACTGTTGGTGATTTCTGGGAAGTGCAGCGAAGAATCTCCACATCAGAAACAAAAGATATTTTGCATTACAGCTTTACAAATTGATCAGAAACATGAGCTGAAAAACTTTTTCTCTTTCAAAAGGAAGAGTGACTCAAACTTGAAACAATGAGTTGCCGCCGTTTCCAATAACTCCACTTCATTAGAAATCCACGCAGCATGCAGAGTTATCAATTGAAACCAAACTCATAACACAACGCTCTGCCATTCACGCACACACATACCATACTTATATCTGGCTCATAGCTTGATCTGACCACTTGTGCATGCTGGGGATGTCTCACTCTTGAGAACAATGGAATGAGCTCTTGGCTGTGCTTGAGGGCGTGGAGGGCATACAGTACAGGGGTTGGGGTGAGCAATGTGGCCCGGCTGTATGGATGTGACCCGCATTTGGGTGGGGCCTGCAGGAAGTCTGCTGCTTTCAGCCCGCTGCTGCAGGGTCAGGAATTATCTGAGCAGCTCATCACGGAGTGATGTCAACGCTCGTTGTCGGGTAACGATGCTGTTTGGTGTTTCTGGAGGGACGTCATGATCAAAAGTGTGAATACATCATGTGGGGAGTTTATTTCCAGAGTTCTAGCTATTGGTGTAGTACTCTTACTACTTTTATGTGTGTTCTTTGGAGCTGTGGCCCTCAATAAATGTCATCACCTTTTACCTAGCTGCATCGAAATAGAAAGAAAACCCTGCCTGATATCTATTATTTTAGAGATTTAAATATGTTTAAAAATGTCTCCTGTATATAATAAAACATTGGTCAAAACCTATGAAAATATAATCCAAGCTTTCATAAACAATAATTATCATTGAAAGAGTTGATGCATAGTCTCATAATCTGGTGCATGCCAGATGAGCTCTGGTGTTTTTTCTCATTCGGCTCATTTAGGCTCGTATGAAAGCTGAACCCTGGTGGGGACCAACGAACCGGACCAAGACCGCTTGAAGAGGTGGACCACAACTAAAAGTTAACAATACAGGTAAGAAAGTGACCTTACTGATGGGTGGGAAACAAAGGGCACAATGGTGAAGGTTATTTGCTTTGCAAGCGATTTTGTTTTGATTTCGATTTTTCGATTATTTTAGCAGCAGAACATGTAAAACATCCCGCCCTTCAAACGTCAGACATTTGGAATCAAACGCTTCAAAACATCTCAAACAATAAGCTTATTACAGTTTTAAAGAGCCCAATTCCTTTCGGCCCAGGGCGGCGGGCCAGTGTCCACTTGTAAAGAGGCACGTCCCCGCTCTCGTCTTCAGCATCGTCCTGCCAACAGGAACTCCCTCACTCCTCTCCCAGTTTCCTGCCATTGTCCCCCCCCCCCCCCCCCCCCCTGCCACCAGGCACACGCTCCGCCCAGGATCTGGGAAAAGGTGGGATGTTAAAGCGGCCCATTTCCCTTTCGATCAGCTTCGACCTCAGCTGGGTGGAGGAGGGGTGTGTGTCAGTGTGTGTGTGTGTGTGTGTGTGTGCGTGTGGGTGTGTGTGTGTGTGTGTGTGTGCGTGTGTGTGTGTGCGTGTGGGTGTGTGTGTGTGAATAGCGAGGCAGCACCGGTCTGACTGACTTTCTGTGTGTGAATTTCACTTAATTTCACTTTTTTATATCATGTATCATGTAGGAGTATCTTTTGAATAATATATTGTCCCGATTACACCCAAGCTCCCATGCTGCATCAGAGAGCTTTTATCCCCTGAGCTTTTATATTCTTTATTGAATAAAATGGTGTATAATCTTAAGAATAAAATGCCGGGGGGGAATAAACCCCCTGTACAGGGAAAATAGAAAGAAGCTGGTTGAGGTATTGTGACTGACTAGCAGCTAGCGTGTTTGTTTAGGGAGGATGAGAGTCAGGTGTGCAGGCAGGTGAGTGCTGAACAGGATGTGGATGGAAAATGGGCCGTAAAAGTCAGAAATCTATATGTAAAATGTGAAAATGTTCCATCCAGAAATGCTAGAAATCCTCTAACTCTGTACAATAAACGAATCAGTCTATAGTTTTACATGCAAAACCTATGATAGAGGCTAATAATATTGTTAGAGAATCTGACAACATACTCCCACTATAACCAGCAGACTTCATCACTTTGATGTCAGAGAAAACTCTTAATACTTTCCCATAATTGTGTGCTTTTGTCTCAGCCTGGCGTTTTCATGCCACCGAGAATAATTTAGGCCAACAGTTTGATCCCTTCTCATGATCCTTTCCCAGTGTTCTCTAAGTGTTCTGGAGGGGCGGCAGTGAGGTGGGGTTGGAAGGTGCACAGGAAGGAAAAGGTGTAGCTGGGAAATCTCATCGAGGCTCCTCAGCGAACAAGAGACACCCCATTCAGGATCTGGGCGTCGCTGCCAAGTCGTCTCAGGGTCGCAGACTCCAGCGGTCCACGTTTGGAGGAAGCAGGCACAAATGCGTCTCGTGCAACACACTCTGTTTTTTCACACAAGTTCACGCAAACTACATCAGAAGAAAGACTTTAAATTATACGTGCAAGCAAGAGGAGGAGATGCAAGATGAGCGAGAGGATAATGTGGCTCATGTATACATTAATAACTTTGGTGAACCCCTGACTTTTCATTGTGCACCATCAAGTCTAAATTTGTATTTGTCCAATTTCTTGGTTTATGACCAAATACCTAAAACTATGACCGCTATACTATGGAATTGTAATTGTATTTCAAGGCAGATCTATTACTTTTACAGGTATATTTACACATATATATTTATTTATTTAATGTTGACTTCAATGGCATTCCAAACTATACTGCTAAACTAAGATGGCATGACTGACTGAAGTGTTTTACAGGACAAAAGCAAGATAAATCCACTAGTAACAATAAAACAAGGTTAAAACAGGTTTAATACTAAATTGAGTATGGTTAACTAAAAACACAAAACTCATTAGAATAAGATCATACATGAGGATTTTCAGTAAGTGTAGGGAGGGCTATAAAAGTGATATGGATGAATAATTAAACCTGACAATAAATATGAAAATGTAACAACAATAGTGTGGTTTCTCTTTCTCTGGCTGTGACCTTCTGTAGTCATCTGGAATTCTGTGGTTTTTCTTTTGTTTTTATTCTTTATTTTCCTTGAAGTAGTGAACAATGAACATATTATTGAACTCATTTAAATGGCCTGACTTCCAGGAAAAAAAGTGTGGCGAAGGTTTGAATTTCAAACACAGGTTTTGATGTATAAATTGACTTGAGCAACACTGGAAAACAAACAGTCTCAGAACCAACACTTCTACCTGCTTAAAATTTCCATGCTCAGAATTAAAATAGCAGACCCGGCTAAAAATGACCTCCTCAACAGATGTGGAGAGCCCAGGCTGCAGGAAACGGTAAGAGTGTCACGTCTTTCACCAAGCGCAGAGAAGAGAGGTCGACCCAGAAACATGTGCTGCCTGAACTTTGGCTCTTTTTCTTCCTGTAAGGACACCTTCTCTCTCCCTCTCTCTCTCATTTGATCATACACATATGCATGCAGCCTTTTTCAAGCTGAAACTAGGCAGTAAACCAGTGTGTTGTTAATAAATAAGCACTAATGCAGGGTGGGTTCACCATAAATACATGTCTGTTTGCATTTAGACACAGGTTTATTGTTGTGCAACCACCAGAGCCCTGCTGGTTTTTCATCTCAAAGCCCATCTAATGAAGGACATTTTTTTCCTGGGATGTCAGGTGAAAGCAGTTAAATCTGATTAAAAGACTGGAGAAAGTCTTTGTCTTCCCCGAGTGGTGAGATGGTTTAGTGTCATTTCTGAGCTCTTTCAAACTCATTTTCTTGAGGGGTAACTGATTTATTCAACTTTCTAGGTTTTGGTTTGTGGGAAGAGCACAGTCATTCCAGAGAAAGACATTTATTCCACATCCATATTCAACAACAAACAAATCATTTGTAATTTACAGTCATATGTTGCATTTACAGTTGGGGTTTTAAAAGGAGATACAAAGGTTTTCTGTTGAAAGAGTAAATGAGTTCTTGCACAGAACTTAATAATTTAGGTTCAAGCATGATTTTTATTTTTTTAATCCATTAAAATTAAGAACTACAGTCATTGCTATATTAACTCTTGCCCTCTCCAGGCCTCTGGACGTGCATTTACTGGAAATAAAAAGCTAAATGAAAAGGTTTGATTGCTTTTATTTGCTAAAACAGTTCCAATGTGATCTGCTCTCTTTCAGCTTTAATATTATTGGCTGTTTTTCCAGTTTATGCAATTTAACAATCCATCTAAACTCCACTTAGATTTCATGTTAGCACCTCAGACTTTATTTTTTCCATCCATATGCATTTCCCTGTAGAGGTCTGATGCTCCAGATTGTACATTTATTGACAAGGTGAAGAAATTACGTCAGCGTCCTGCCGGTCACACAGCAGTTACACTGTACTTCAACAGCTTTTGGGAAACGCAGCCATGTGTCGAAGAATCTAACCTCCATCGACTTGTACGCTCACAGAAAGACGAGTCCATATACTTTAATTTACTGGTGATGATGTTACTTGTGTTGTTTTATGAGAAGCACACAGGGCCGATGTCCAGGCCGAACTCCTGATCAGGTTTTCCAATGTCCATGGGGGCCACGTCCACGACAGGCAGCCTGGCAGAGGTTTGAGTCCTGTACTCAAGCACCGTCTTGCCCCACTCTCCGTTTGATTTCTGAGGGACAAGAAAGCCAGATAATTCAGTAAAATTATTTTCCAATAAGTCTTTTATGAAATTGAGAGTCCTGTAATGACTCACCGTGCAGCTGTCCTCGAGGACGGTGTACCGGAGGCGCATGTTTCCTTGCGCTCTCAGCTCCTGGCCGTTGGAACCTCTGAGGAGCAGTGCTTTCTTCAGGTTGGTGCTCCTCTCGTCGTTATACGCCACGCTGTTCCTGCAGTGGTAGGTGATGTTCTGGTGTGACTCTTTGGACAAATGCTGCAACAGCTTCATCTGAACCGCCACCACGTTGGGCTGCTCCTCAGTATTTCCATAGTGGAACTGAAATTGGATGACAGTTTGACATGATTACACCCAAGGCAGGTCTGGATTCAAAGATTTCCAGGCTTCTACTAAACACATCAGATTTGGAATTAAAGATTTTGAAGCCAGGAAATGCATATTTTTGGATTTCTTACTTTAGTTCCACCGTTCATGTCTGCTTCAAACCAGACGGGTTTGTTGGCGCTGGGACTGGATTTCGTCCACCAGGCTTTGTGGGGAATGTTGGCCGGGTTGGCGGAGATGCAGGTTTCACCATTTTCCATATCACAGTAGACCTTGATGGCATCTTTTGTGCTTCCTTGATTTGGATCAATCCAGTACTCACCTGTATCAAATGTGCGTTACATTAATACATTTGTGGTACTGGTCGAAACAGACCTGAAAATAATTTGTTAATGCAGAAAACAGGAGCCTCACCGCTCTTTTTCTGAGGGTAGCACTGTTTGATGTCCTGGCAGGTTTTCGCTGGGTTCACCTTGCTACCATCAGGACTGCGGAGGTTTTGCAGATGTCCGCTGAGGGTCTTCAGTGTGGCGTGGACTCCGGTGTCTGCATGCAGGATGGCCGACTTCTTGTTAGGGAGGGCTTCATCTCTATTGATCTCTGGAAGAGGAGGATGATCGGCAGCCACATCGTCCTCGACGAACTCCACGGCTTCTGGCACGTGGCCGTTCCCGTCGTAATCGTAAAGGGCAGCAAAGAGGTCATCCAGAGCCGAGGTGGGAGGTCCAGGGGGGCCTGGAGGGCCGGACTGACCCGCATTCCCAGGTGGACCCTGACAAGGAAAATGATGAAGATGAAGTATGTTTTTAACTTCATTTTTGCCGTTCTAGCGGTGGGAACTAACACTTTATGATATCTCAACAATGAAACTTGAAATTTAAACTTATGATCCCGAGAGGTTGATTCCTAATTATAACAAATTATTGCAGCCACTGAACTTGTCTCATAAGTTGATTGTTTGTAATATTAAAAAAAGTGAACGTAATCTTGTGTCACCTGTGCCCCGATGTCCCCACTGGAACCTCTGCTTCCAGGAGCACCCATTGGTCCGGGCTGACCGATGTTTCCTTCCTTTCCTGGAGGACCCGCCACTCCTGGAGGACCCTGTACGATAAAAGAGTGAGTCATTTACACTGTTTAACAAGACAGAGCTTCAAATGTGACTGCATGGTGCTGTTATACACTCACCCTCGGCCCAGCTGGTCCAACAATACCTGTCGCTCCTTCATCCCCTGTGGCGCCCTGAAATAAAGAAGAATGACATTTCATCATCGGAAACATTCAGTGTTATCAATTTATCAATGTTTATCTGAACTAACTACTAACTACACTAGTATGTGAACTATCTAAAGGACCAGAAGTATTTTAAACATTTTGCTTACAGTTATTCCTGGCAAACCGTGGAGCCCGGTGAAACCTCTGTGTCCTTTCTGACCCCTCTCTCCTTGTTCTCCAGCAGCTCCTTTCTCTCCCTGTGGTCCTTGAGGGCCCTAAAGTTAGACACAGCATTAAAAACAATGTTTTACACTTAAAGTTTTAAGTTGATGTTTTTAGGTATCAATTATGTCAAACATTCTCATGTCATGCTTACCACTTTCCCCCGTACTCCAGCTGCTCCTTGGGGTCCAGGGGAGCCTATGGCACCCTAAACTCAAAACAAACAAAGAGCGATGACAGAGCCGACTTTGCAATTGTGTTAGCATCGACAGAGCTATTGATATGATATGGAGCATTTTATTACTTGGGAAACTCACATTCTCGCCTCTCTGTCCTGGACCACCTATCATTCCCACAGGACCCTCAGTTCCTGGAGACCCTGGAGTACCAGCCAGACCCTCTGAGCCAGCATTACCCCCGTTTCCCTGGAAAGACACACACATGCCAGCGGTTAGTACACACAGCTGTATGCATGGTAGCACATCCTGTCCACTAGTCTTACCCTGTCCCCTACGAGACCGTCCTTCCCAGGAGGCCCCTCTGCTCCAGCGATACCCTGAAAAAACACAGATAATGATATGATAAAGTACAGAAGAGTGACTTAAAAGCTGAGTTGTCAGCAAAGAAACAACTATATTAACAAACCTGCGAAGATATTTTCAACTGTCATACAGTGGTTCATGTTTCCAAGAAATAAGCAGCATGACTGTGAGGGACTCCATATAAAAACATCAGCTAAACACTTAATAATAAAAGATGTGTCATGACTGAGATGGACTCGACTAACCTCAGGGCCGGCATCTCCTCTTGGCCCAGTGGCTCCTAGTAAACCGACTCTACCAGCAGGCCCTGTGCTGCCCTGAACTCCGGGAGCTCCGGGTTTTCCGGATGGACCCTGAGGAATAAAGAAATACAATGTTTACATCACTAAAATCTCAATGCAAGACATAGTGTCTCAGTGCGCAGCTAAAACAAAGAACAGCAAACACTGTCAGAAGGAATACATACAGCAGAACCTGGCAGTCCCAGTATGCCCGCCTCTCCTCTCAGTCCAGGCTGACCCACGATCCCTCGCTGTCCTGCGGCACCATTAGGTCCTGGAGGCCCATCAGGACCCTGGCAGAGAAACACAAGAGCAGACAAGCAATTGAAACATCTCAGCAGTTATTTGTGTATAGCCGCTGGAAGATCAGCACAGCCTGAACATAAAGATGATCATCTCACCCCAGGGCCGTCCTCTCCAGAGTCTGCCTTCTCTCCAGGGCTGCCCGGTGCACCTGAAGCTCCCCTCTCTCCTTGACGTCCTTGAGCTCCATTCTCCCCAATAATCCCAGCAGCTCCCGATTTTCCTGGAGCTCCAATAGGCCCATCTGCTCCAACAGCACCCTAAAGCACACACACATGATCTGCCCTCAATCCAGAGTTACGAAAAACAAGTGTGACTTAATGAATCCACTGCAGGTATGAGATTGAAACATATTTTATAACCAATTAACTCACATGAGAACCAGCTGGTCCAACTCCTCCTGGCAGCCCAGGAAAACCAGAAGAGCCCTGTGGGAATAACACACTCCCAATAAGATACACTTTGATGATAATAACATAAGACAGTTGATACACCAAACTACAGTTATAAATAAAGACATTAAATATAGAGCCTAACTCACTGTTGCCCCCTGTGTTCCTCTGCCTCCTTTCAGTCCAGTCACACCAAAAGGCCCCTAGAAACACATACGAGTAGCATGTAGACAAGTTGTTTCACCATTTCTTTACGGTTTTTTTGGTCAATGTGTTTACCTGTCCTCCTGATATCCCAGCCATTCCCTGTGGTCCAGGTGCTCCTCCCTCTCCCTTCAGACCTGCCTCACCTGTGTCACCTTTGACCCCAGGTTGACCATCAGGACCCTGTGACAGAAACAGGAAATTAATCAAGCCTTTATTGGTTTATTCAGCTGTATATTTTGGACATGATTGCCTTGCTTTAGCGGGCCACTTACAGCAGGTCCAGGGAAGCCAACGGCACCAGTAGGACCAGTGTCACCAGTAGAACCCTGTTAATATCATCACACAAATGCACACTTTATCAAAAAGAAATGGAAGTACAGTCAAAGAAAAAACATTTCTCTTTAATTTAATGTCAGTTGTAAAATAATAACTTGTACTGACAGCGATTCCTCTTGTGCCTCGGCGTCCTGCAGGCCCTGGTGGGCCGGTTTCACCCTGAAACAAAGGAACAAGTTAAGTCAGGGTCATATTACATGTGCGTTTCATTTCAAACTGGAACCATAAGTAATTTGACTGATTTAAGTTTTTAAATAGATGCTTTAGGTTCAAGGTCATACAACATCCTGGCTCATTTACATTTAAAAAGAAGAATATCTCTGTTGTTTTGCACCAAGACACTCATTAATATTATGCTTTTTCCCTGTCACATATTGTCAATTTTGTGTAATGTTTGTTGTAAACGTGATCATTTGGCTAATTACATGACCATATCCAGATTTAACATATAGTACATGTTACATGTGTGCTTCTGAGCTCACCTTCTCTCCATTGGGTCCACCAGAACCAGCAGGTCCAACAGAACCAGGAAGCCCCTTTAAATATAATGATAACATATATTAGAATATCACATTACACATAAGAAAACTCAATTGTAAGATTGTCAGCCAGTGACAGTCTAACGGTGAGTATTTTGTCAGCCATGAGAAAAACTGTTTTGCCACAAACGTTGGGCTTGTTCTGCTGAGAGATGTGCGGTGTAGTTTGAGTCCTGACATCATGTTGAGACGACTCACCCGTGCACCGTCAGCTCCGACTTTCCCCTCCAGTCCGCCCTCTCCAGCAAAACCCTGTTAGAAGAAATCAACCTTATCAGTGCCTCAGGTTCATCTTCCTCTGCTGCGGGTCATGTTAGTGGAGAAAATGGTATCTCTAATATTTGACTTACTGCATCTCCCTTTGGGCCTGAAGGTCCAGATGTGCCTCTCTCTCCTGGCATCCCCTGAAGTCCTGGGCCTCCCGCCTCTCCAACAGTACCCTTTGGACCAATGCTACCCTAGAATGTGCGAAACATATCTCAGGTAGAGCTTATTGCAAACAAGATTCACAGCAACTAAAAACTACAAGTTCTGCATGTGTCAGTGTCTTTAAGGTTACAATACCTTTGGCCCATCTAGTCCTGGTCCACCTGGACTACCTTTGGTTCCCTGCAGCCCATTGGCCCCGATTTCCCCTCTCTCTCCTGGAGGGCCTCTTTCTCCCTGCGAGAACAACAAGGGGATACAGTCATGCAACAATTCCTCATTGCACTAAATGACTTAATGTGACAGATTTAAACGCTGTGAGTGATTGAAGACATTTGAGTATGGAAACTGAATGAGAGCTACACCTTTAAATCAGGTGAGAGAACAGTAATGGACTCACCCTTGGACCTGTACCTCCACCAGCACCAGCTTCTCCAGCGAGACCCTGGGGATAAAAACGCATTATGTTTAATGCAATATGATAGGAAGAGCTTCTCAATCAAAATTTATTTCACTATAATCTCTGAAAAAAACGCTTACCTCAACACCTGGTTTTCCTGACTCTCCAGGTGGTCCTGGCAGTCCTGGCAAACCCTAAAAAAACACCAAACATGTTTGCTTTAATGCTAATAACAATATTTGAAAAACAATTACATACTCAATATGCTGAATATAAATTCATATTTTTTTATGTTTTTAGGATGCAGTGTACCTGGAAACCATGCAGTCCCTGTGGTCCCTGCTCTCCCCTCTTTCCTGCAAGACCCTGAAGAAAAGCAAAAAGAATATAAATCATCTAAACATCATGTTATCAAATCATTGATGATAAACAGTTGGATGCTTACAGCTGGACCAGCTGGACCAGCAGCGCCTTCCTCTCCGTATTTTCCATTCACCCCCTAGAAGACAGACACAGTATCTATCAGGATATTACTGATGTATTTATGATTTAGCATGGAGTATAAATACACTATAGTATATCAATAGTGAAAGTAACTTGCCCTTTGACCTGGAGACCCGGAGCTGCCGGCCTCTCCAATCTTCCCAGCATCACCCTGAAAGTGAGGAGCCACAGAAGTCATCATCTGTTGCTGCACAAAATATCTGATTACTTATGTTAAATATACAACATGTACTGACAGCGAAGCCTTTCGGTCCCAGCAGGCCCATCGGTCCAGATGACCCTCGGTTCCCCGTAGAACCAGCTGGGCCTTGTTTACCATCGTCTCCTGCTAAGCCCTGGATAAACCGAACATATCGTTAATACACGCCGTCTTCCATTCACACTTTGGTGAGTGATGAAAATGAAAGGTTTGGCGCACCATTGGTCCTTGCTTTCCCTCTGATCCCTGGGCGCCAAGAAGTCCTGACAGACCCTGTGAAATCAGACACACAGTTACAGACCAACCTTAGACACATGTCTCTGAAGCTGCATCTCATTCTCTAAAGTTATTATTCTATACATATTGTACAGTAATCTAGACAGAGAACAATATTCCTGATATTTTCTATTTCTTTTTACATATTTAATGCTTTCATTCATGTTTTCAACTGTTGAGTGTGTTGACAGACAAATTTAAAGAGTCATTTAAAAGCAGGCTGACAGTTTGTTGCATCTGCAACCACGCTGTACTGATGTCACGGTGTACTGACACACCCAGAAGTACATTTCTACATCACTGCAGCAAGGTCAAAGGTTAAACCACTCGAGGTCAGCAAATACAAGATTTCTCCAGATGTGAAGTTGCTCTAACTGCCTGTCTAGACACAGGATGTTTATTGTACAAAAACACAGCAAATATTGGCAATAAATGATATGTCTGCTGTACCCGAGCTCCTGTTAGACCTGGCTCTCCATTACGTCCTGGATCTCCAGATAAACCATTGGCGCCGGTCGACCCTGACAGTCCTCTCTCACCCTGGGCTCCCTGTTTGTTTCAAAAGCATGGAAACACACGTCATGGTCTAGAATAATCATAACTAACAAGTAATTGAATGCTGCCAGTGCATTTTAAGTCCACTCACCTTATGTCCTGGTAAACCATCTCCACCTGGGAAACCTCTATTTCCTGGAGCTCCCTAGAAAAAAATGAACAATTGTTTCCAGATTGGGAGTTTGCGACATTTCAGGCCCTGAGATCGTGAAATGTCCTCTCCTTAAAGGATTTTAAATGCAGTTTTCTTAAACATAAAGTAAAAGTTGACTAACTGTCTCTCCTTGAGCTCCTAGAGGCCCGATGGATCCACCATCACCTCGAGGTCCACGCTTCCCATCCTCTCCCAACGGGCCCAAAGCACCTGGAACACCATGGTTGCCCTAACCCAGTAATCAATAATCAGCCAATCAATTATCAGACTCAGTCAGCCAAAATAACATGAAAACTTAACATTAAGAACTTTTCTCAGCTTACTCTTTCTCCCTTGAAACCAGCTTCTCCTTTGAATCCAAGCAGTCCAGCTTCGCCCTGTTGAAGAGGATCAGATAACCTGGATCAGATTATTAAAGCTCCTGGTGCATTCTGTTATATGAGCCACAAAGTTACAAACAGAGACGGAAATGGAGAAGGAGGCAGACTTCAGGGATTCATCAAATACAGTTAGATGCAATAGGAGCTTGTACCAGTTGGCCTTTTGGTCCTTGTGTTCCTGTAGTTCCCTGGGGGCCGGGGGGGCCGGGTTGCCCCAACAGCCCTGCTGGACCCTGGACACCTGCTAGACCCTGAAGAGGAGAAGGAGCAGAGACAGATTTGAGTTAAAAACAGATTTACAGACAAAGATGTGCTCCATAACTTATGGTGTTATACTTACTGAGGAGCCGCGGCTACCTGAAGATCCATCAGGTCCCAAGGTACCCTGTTAAAAACAAAATATTAACTCATAATTATTCACCTAAAGCCAAATATAGTTCAAACATATGTGCTCACTTTCACAGTTTGAAAATGAAATCCCAACAAAAGACAGAATGATGAAATTATAACAGACCTGCTGTCCTTGCGGCCCAGCTGGTCCCACGTGACCTCCATCCCCTCTGGGACCCTGCTGTCCTGGACTTCCTCTGACCCCTGTTGGTCCTCCTTCTCCCTGCACCCCGGGACCGATTCAGGTCACATTCAAGAAGCTTGTTATTGAAATTTAAGAGCTCATATTTTCACAAACTAAGACCTCATTTTCTACAAATGAGTAAGCTAAATAACATACAGATAAAAATGGATTCACGTTATAGAAGATTTTTAGAAAAATGTTCTGCCAGTAGAGCATCTCACCTTCATTCCTGCGTTACCAGGAAATCCTAAAACTCCGGGGATTCCTATTGAACCCTGTAGTGAAAGGAAATGTTTAAAACATTCTGTCATAAGCATTTCAGTTTGTTTTGTTCACAGTGTGTGTTATCTGGTGAAATAATGTCCAAAATCAAGTGATGCATAAAAGTAGAATTGTAAAGCAATAAATCATTGTGTACTGCAGAGAGAGCGGCAATAACCTCAGTTCCTAAATGATCAAACTATTTCTTGAAAGTACATTAATGTTAGTAGATATAATTCCTCACCAGAGGACCGGGTTTGCCAACATGGCCGTTTTCGCCACGTTTTCCCTAAAAGAGAAAGAAAATGTTTCAACCCTGCAACTTCATTTTACATTTTTGCATTTTTCCGAAACGAGTAAAGATGTTTTGTGTTTCTTACCAAAGGACCAGTTGGTCCGGCTCTGCCTCTTTCTCCCTGCATGCCCGCTGGTCCCTGAAACAAAACACTGGCTCAGCATCTGTGTGACTGACAGCTGTATGAGATGCTCTGTGATCTGTTCTCTGCATGTGTTCTATACCTGTGGGCCTGCAGCACCCATCGCACCCGGAGTACCAGATTTACCCTGCAAGACACAAAGACACAGACACAATGCAGGATTGAAATGTGCACTTTTGTAAAAACCAACAGCCGATAAAAGCTTTCATTGATATTAGGAGGTCCTTAAAGCTAGAGTGGGTAATGTATTTTAGAATGATTGATGTTATATTTGTTGAAATTCTCTTTACATCCCAACAGCAATCAATATGTCAAATGCTCTGACAGAGAAGAAGAAAAAAATCCAGTATCTACTGGACTGTAATAACTCCGTCCAATAATTTAATTTGGCCCAAATGACTGGGTGCAATGCATCCTGGTACATGTAGGCAAATTCATACCTTAGTTCCAACCGCTCCAGACTCTCCTTTTGACCCAGACAGACCGGCAATTCCCTGTTGCAGAGATTAAAATGAACAATCAGGTAATAAGTAAGCGATGTTTCTTACATTAAAGCATGAAAAGTGAGGCTTGGTATAGGCTTTGATCAGGGAGCATGCATTGCTGGGTAACAGTTATATTTTGTGTGTGTCTACCTTGTGACCTTTCAATCCTGGATGACCCGGAAGTCCTGGGAATCCTCTTGCACCCTGCATTCAAACAAATGATCAACACACTCTGGGCAAAGAAGCAAGATTATGTCTGTAGATCATAATCAGTGTTGATTGCTCTTTGGTTCGATTTTAATAAAGTGTTTTGTGTTGCTTGTTTATGATGAGGATTGGGAGATGGACTTACCACAGATCCTAGAAATCCTGGTTCTCCTGTAGCACCAGCAGCTCCAGCTTCTCCCTGAGCAGGATAAGTAAAAAGTTATTAAAAAAGATCATTACTGATAAATAATTACTGATAACAGTATATTCTGCATTTTCACGAGGACGCATGTATGTTCGACTCACATCACGTCCAGTTTTCCCAGGAGGCCCGTCTGGTCCTCGATGACCTGACTCACCCTGTTCCACACAAGGAATCAGGAACACAGTTTTTCTTCTGCACAGTTACATTTAGATCTAGTACTGCCGGTTTAGAGACACGTTTAGACTTGCTCCTCATAGATACTTGATGTGGAAATGTGCATCAAACATAAAATATAACATGAAGAGGCAGAAATGTTCCTACCATTGGTCCTGGGTCTCCAACCTCTCCTGGATATCCCTGTCCCCCTTGTGGACCCTAAACAAAGGGGATTAAGATTGTAATTTATGATACAAGAAAATATACAGTGTTCATACATCAATTTTTAGAAGTATTTTAATCTTTGCTTGGAGGAAAAAATTGCATACTTCATGTCCAGGCGACCCTGGAGGTCCTCGTGGTCCTGCTTCACCCTGAAATAACCACATTGCATACACTGTGGGTTAAATTCAACATACCTCCAAACTTTGTGTTTACGTAAAATATGTAGTTTACTTTCCCACAGCTTTGCAGCACTCACCCTTGTTCCTGACACCATGCCAGCCGCACCAGACTTCTCCCCGAAACCTGCAGCCATCTGTGACACCAGGTTGCCCTTTTTGGGAAGAATATATTTTAAGAGAAATGTTTGTGCAAAGGAATGTTCAAACTTTTTTTCTATGAATTAAGAAGATTTCTAAATTGACTCTGAGACAAACTCACCCCAGGGTGGGTAGGATGGCCTGGGAGTCCCGGCTCTCCCGGATTTCCTGGCACACCGGGCTCTCCGTCAAATCCTTGAGGCCCTACCAATCCCTGCAGGGTGAATAATGAAACATCATTAATTAGAGACAACACGTTCCCCTTCAAGAAGAAGTTTCCATAAACAGATTAGCTTCTAGATTACAGCGTTAAAAGTATTCATCCAGACTGACCCGTCGGCCTTTAAAGCCTCTTGGTCCAGTCTTTCCCTGAGTTCCTGGAGGACCCTGAACAAGAAACACAAGTGTAAGAGAAACTTATTTTACACACAGAGATTTGCTGTCTGCAGACTGCTTTTAGAAATATATTTCATGATGAACTAATATCATTTAAAAATAGGCACATTAATCTTTACACGGATACAGGTTAATTTCTTTGGCTTTCTTAGAAAGCAGGTTGACAGATATTACTGCAGTTATAGTAATATCCTTCACTTTTCTGCAGGGTGTTTCTAATCACCAGCACTATTATGACATTCTGGTGCCCTCTAGTGTCAAACTTAGTGAAAAGAGGATATTATAAAGGAGATCGTTCAAACAATCCTT